TATTTTTCTGAAATGTGGAACTGGGCTGAGATTATCATGAAAATTTGGTCTTACCTTTACATTTTGGATAACTGCTGCAATAAAAGTTGCTGATGCAGATACTTACTAGGTACTTATAATAAATTTTCTATTTTTTATTTTCAACACAGCATTTATTTCTTATTTATACGAAAATATAAAGGCAGGCAGAGTTACCATTACATTTTCGCCCATTAAATAAATTAATTGTCTCCTACTACAAGTTGCAGTGAGCAACCAAAAGTGGCAAAAATCCTCTGAAAACTGAATTAAAATTTATCATTGCAACTCATTTATTTTTCATAAGTATAATAATGTTAACAAAATAGTTTATTTACATTTTTTTCAGAACGCAAATATTGGAGCCAGCATGATCCAACTTTACTAGCAGAGGGCACGTTTTGTTTAGCAACTATATTTGCTTACTTCCGACTAACGTTCCTGTGCCAATTGAATTAGGTACCATCTAGGACCATTGCAGGTATGTACTCGTATATTATACAGGTAAATAAATAACGGTAATATATATATATATATATATATATATATATATATATATATATATATATATATATATATATATAGCAAGTTCATGATTTTAGGTTTCTCTAAGAAAAATGACGATTTATACGATTAAAATTGACATTTATAAATATGTAATAGTATTTTCGATAATTATATATGCCTTTGCTGCGGGATTAGCGCGACTCTATCAATACTATGATGGCATGGTTTATGAAGATGACTTCGGAATGAAAACAGTACAGGTATTTATATTTCATTGAACTCATTAATTTTTTTTTAATTAATATTACGAGGGTCGGTGCTGCCCATCCCTCGACTATTTAATTCCCTTAGTTACCTCTTACGACACCCACAGAAAAGGAAGGCCCATTCAATGCCAGAATCACACATCACCCAATCCTCATGCGTCGTACCAATCCTCTTTATACCCGAAAAACTGCGAAATACCCATGCACCTCTTTCACTCTTAGCTTCTCACATCTTATTTTAAAAAGCTCGTGTAAAACTGATAAGATATACGCGTATCTATAAAACTTTGAGATCTTACTCTGTCTGTGATACCTATTATGTAGAGAATTATATATCTAACTATCAGGTAGACAATTGGGATAAATTTTATTTTTAATAGTTTAACTTCTTATAAAGAGTGACCCAGGGCTACATGCCCTGCATTTGCGTTCACATTACAAATTGATAGAGTTTATATGCTATAAACCCACGCTGACCTCACTAAAATTACTCCACATAAATATACGTTATAGCATAACGTATTGCCAATATTAACTTTATAGTCTTGTGGACATACAGAATGTAAACTTACGATACGTATCTTTATCATTTATCTTTTTACCATACCATCTGATTTTTTAAGATATTTACTCCTTTTTAAACACAAAATAAAAAATGTTTTAATGAAAATGTACTCTTTTTTTCGAGGCTTTTTTTAATGACGAAAGAAACCTTCGACAGCTTAGTCTTACATCAAACAGACGCAATCTTTTAATTTACTGTGTGAAAAAAAAGTTAATAAACTTAAATAAAATTTTATAAACAAATAACCTACGTACCTACGTTTTATTATGAATTTCAGGTTTCTTCATTTACAAGCATTACGGACACATTAAAAACCTTGTTCTGGGCTATGTTCTGTATGGTTCCATTGGAAAGTGCTGATGTGGTACTTACGAATGTTAAAGATACAAAGACCCCTCAAAAGTTTCAAGATAATCGACATGAGTATACAGAACTAATTGGATACTTCTGTTTTGGTTGTATGTACTCAATTATTTACGAAACATTATAGTCTTTATATTCCTGTATATATATACCATATATATTTAAACGACGAAATTAAAATTCTTGATTGAGTGATTGACAGGCATGTGTAAAGATACATACGCAGAGCGGAATTAAACAACCAAGGGGGTAAAAAGTCCCACATTGCACGAATTGTAATAGAATTTGTTTTGCATAACCCACAAAATTTAATAGGCCCATCGCAGCCAATATTCTCCGAGACATGAGTCAAGATTACCCTATCATGCAAACATGAATAGAATTATAAAAGTGGGTAAAACAATCAGCTCTACTCTATTCGCATACCCTATTTCAACATGTCCTATTAAAATAGATAAATTTATTATATATGTATCTAGACTGCTTTTTATGACAAAAACAATGGTAATCCCGCCTGTGCTATCTGTATTAGCTAGCGAGTACCAGTGAGTGACGAGGTAAGGATGAAGTAAGGTCAGTTAGCCCATCGTAACAAATTCGCCTGGAATTATCTATGATGGTTTCCAGAGGAGCCACGTGGAAATAAACTACTAGAGTAGGTATACTGCAAGAGGTCCGTTACTTTGTTACTAACAATAAGATATATGTTGTAGGTAGTAGTAGTTGAGGGCGATTTTTCTCTAAAAGCGATTTAACTCTTCAAACAGTTCGTAATTTTACAATTAGATAAAATATAAAAATTATACCTGAAGACTCAATGACAAATACTAAATTCTTGTCACGATTTGTGTGTATGTACCTTTATTGACCTCTTACTACTTCACAGAAAGTGATATGCCAGAGGTGAGTAGTAAGAGCGCTCTAAACGCCGAGAGAGCTTTTAAACTGCTGTCAGTTCACTTACACCTACCTACTAAAAAAATATACTCACGACTGTAATTTCTGATGGGGTAGCCAAAGACATTTGTCGACTTTAATCGTTGACATAGAACATGTCCATATTTCGCCGAGCATATTAGATTCATACTTAAGCATTATTGATATGTAGAATTAACAATATAATCGATTTATTTTGTAGGTTTTGAAGTTATATCGGTAATTGTAGTATTAAACATGCTTATTGCAACTATGTCGAATACGTTCCAAAGGGTTAATGATAATGTTGCTATTAAATGGACATTCGGAAAAACAGAAGTGTTATATGTAAATGATAAAATAAATTATTTGGCTTGTAAAAAAAAACGTAGAAAAAGATCTTTAATAGAGAATAACGAATAATAAAATCTACTAAGCCTACAGTGGAAACAGTACATGATAAATTCGGCCTGATAATTTTTTTTACTAAAATGGCATGATTAAATGCTGTCAATAGAAGTTCCACTTAGCTCATTTACCCACTGTACTATTGTTTAATTATAAATAGACATTTATCTACCTGACGCCTCTACTTACAACTACTAGACATTATGTGCGAAATAATGAAATGGTAACGGTAACACACGACAGTTACGTAACACCACGCTTGTGAATATTATACACGTTTTTGTTAATTACAACCCGGCGTGTAAGTGCAGTTATGTAACGTCTCTATTCGTTACCTTGTATTATTCATTAGATCCGTTAATTGCGAACCCATGCTGATTTTTGCGCCTGATGTAATAACGTGATCAAGAAACCGTGAGACCACTATTTAAGTCCAAAAAAAGTGGGCCTACCAGAAACTTTTAGATGCTTAAGAAAGAATTATCTGACTAGTACTTATCGTTATGTTAGAATTGTTTAAAAAATGTATTTTGAGTCAATACTTAATATACTCAATTTGCATTGGCAAATGAAGATAAAAGATAAGTAATAACTATATAGAATTCAATTTTTCTCAAATAGCAAGCATCATACTTTCCTACATATACAATTCAAAAACATTAAGATATCTACAAGAGTGCAGTATTAATGCACATATACACTATTGCCTACTTATTCAAATTCATCATAAGCTTTTTGTAGTGCTATCTGAAAAAAAAATATACCTAAATACTTACTGTCTAACAAATAACATCAATTTTATTCCTGAACTCATATGAGTATGTAATAAGTAGATAATGTGTTTTATAATCGTATTTATAATCATTTTCATAACATTCAAACTCTCACACTATTCATATCTTTTCCAATAGTTACTTATAGTATTTACCCACAGGTTTACATTAATTACATGTTGCAAACAACCCTTCCATCGCCATTCAACATGATTCCGACGGCAGCTGGCATGTGTAACATTGTTATGTGCTTGTGGACTAAAATTAGCAAGCCAAAGGGAATACACGCGCGTTGGTTCCTCTCATATTGCTGTTATATGGTAACCTATGTTAAAGACTATGTTTTCTTTAAGTAAAATTGGCCAAATAAAAGAATATCTTGGATAATTAATGCTGCTGTTCCCAATTTGCTCGAAAATTATTTTAAATTACCATAGATTTTACAAAACAAATACACATATAAAATTTCATAAAAAATAAACCAAAGCAACCTGCAGCCTAAATTTATAGATTTAGATTTTATTTCACCTATAGATTTATGATATATCCCGAAGAAAGATACGCAAAAAATTCAAGAGAAAATGTTAGTTAAAATTTAATTTGTCGCCAAGACCGTTTTCATTAGATACAGCAGTTTTATGTATTATATACTTTTCTATAATTAACTTGAAATAATAACAAAATTCTATCAAGTTCTAGGAGCGTGACGTGGAAGCGAGTCTGCAAAAAGAGTTTCCGTCGTTGATGTCGGTGTTGGTACAACGATATTTTAGAGACAAACAGGTGACTACTGTGAACAACTTTGATGAAACAATATCGGCTCTAAGAAAAGACGTCACATTCATCAAACATGTACTTGAAAAACCTGACAATAGATCTCAAGCAGCATGAAGCATTACAGCATTATTATACATTTTTACCAGCCCTTTTATGCAACCTAAATATTTGCAAAAATTTTATAATAATAACGGAATATTTAAGCTAAACAAAAAGCACTTTTTTTATAGACCTTTTGTTTATTTATCGAGATCGAACGTTGATTAGATATCATTATTATGTGATTATATGTATGTTAAAATAAAAATATATTTCTGTAGAGTATAATAATATATTATTTTAATCTATATATTTACAACTTAGACAAGTATTTAAACTTAATATAACATATAAAATACATAATATATCTTCGTAATACATCATAAGCTGACATTTTACATAAGATTTTGACACTTAAATAACCATAGGTCAAAATCAAATATACTTTATATTGACGCTAATAAGGATTAGAGTAGCGCTGACGAGAAATTCCTAGTGCATTTCCACCAACAGTAACACTAGTACACATATATTTGCAGTCACTTTAACAAGTCTTCTTCTGGCATACATTGATATATATTTGTGGAAATATGCCCAAGCATTTTTTCACTATATGTACTTATAGAACTTAATTAAGGATTAAGTACATACAAGTATAATGATATATAAAATGGCCTATCAAAAATTTGTCTAAATTTAACAATTACCTATTTATTATTATACATATAATTAAATCTGTTAACTTTTTTATAATCGAGTATATTATAATGAATAGAACCGGACATTCCTTCTCAATACACAATAGGTACATGTTATTTAATAAATCCGTAATTATAATCACTATATCCGCCGGGGAGCCCCGGATATATCCACGGTCCGTCCGCGTCTGTTTCCCATCACATCCTCACGTGGAACTTGCCCGCTTTGGTTACATACTTTACACCTTTGAACGGCTTGTATTTAGCTCCATACATGTCCAGGCGACTAACCCGCAGACCGCTCACGGCCAATTGTGGAATCGTGAAGTGCACGTTGATACTCGGATTCGCCCCAGATGTGTCAGCGCCCGAGGCCACTGAAATCTATAATTGGTGTTATAATTATAGCTCCCGGTAACGAAATTAGGCTGTATTGATGGATACTTTCAAGAATTCACTTTCAATTAATATTTTTATATTAGTACTAAAAGTGGGATACAAACTGACAGTTCACCTAATGAAAAGTGACTATCGACCCCTTTAAACATGAATAACACTATGCTGTCTACGACAATAGCAGCCTTCAAGCGTTTCCAGTCTTAAATAAAATTCTTATGCCTTCGCAATGAGTATCGTACTCTTTAGATAGAAACATACATTGCCGTTATGTATTCAAGGTCAACAAAGCGTGCATAATGTCCCTGGTATTGCAAGTGTTCATAGGCTGCTATAACCACTTACCATCAAGTGAGCCGTATGCTTGTTTGCCACTTCAGTGGTATAAAAATGCGTTAAAAATGGATGATTTGATGATAGTGAGGTAGCGCACCCAAGTGAATTATATAAAACAATCTGAAGTACTACTACTAATCGTGTGAGAGCGGATACCATATAGTGTCAAGAGTTTCTAGGCTACTTTCGTTACATTTATTATTCTACTAGCTATATCCCGCGACTTCACTCGCGTGGTGCAACGCCTATGCTAATGACAAAAAATAATAAAGATAATCAGACAATCATAATTGTTAATAAATTTTAATAATTCTAAAAAAAATATTAATGTTTAATGAATTATTAAAAACTTAACCATTACTTTTTGAAAACTTTCTAAAATTACGAAATCGCATAAAGCACGTTTGTTATTTGCATTCGGATTCGCCCCAAATATGCCAATGCCAGAGGCTACTGAAATCTGTTATTAGTATTATAATTATAGCTCCCAATAACGATCAAAATGATTTATAACTATACTTCTGACAATTCACTTTCATAATTAGACATACTTAACACAGTATAAGGACACTGAGTAAATAGAAATCAACTAAGTATCAATTAACTTAGTGAGCCGACATAGTGGGGTCAATCGTTGAGAATAAATCATACTCTTTTCAGTTGATCGTATTCATAGTGCCATATTGTCACCATATTTTCTCTGCATTCGCTCAGAACGGGGTGGTCATATGTCGTATTATAATAAAAAAAAAAACTTGATCTACCCGGAATTGAATTACAAATGATTTTTTTTTTTTCAAAATAAGCTCTACTTTGACTATTGCTGTTGTGCCCTATATAATTGTTTCGTTTCAACGTATAATGTAATTACATTGCAGCTTTAATGACTATCAGATACAATGAAAGATATGTTTTACAAAATAAAAACTATACTTACAGTTCCTCTGATATTAGGTAACTTTGGTAGTTCTATTCGCCCGATATCCCAAAGAAGTACTTTACTTACAGGATCATATGAGTATTTTCCTTGATTTGCAGTCAACGAACAGTTTAGAACACATTTTGGCATACATATTTCTAATGCTACATCTGTAAATAATTATAATTATATGCAATCAATATAAATATTTGTTGAAAAGCCATAAATAGTACAATCTATGGCTAGAGAAAGTATGTTATTATGCATATATGGCTATATACTATAATTTGTCTTACTTTCTAAAGTGCGTCCCATAGTTTGCTTGGGGCCCACAGTCAAATCTAACCTGCCTTGATCTCCATTACTTCTCAATGCAAGGCTATGCCGCACATATATTGGGATTGCCACCACACTTTGCGAACCAATATGATAGGACATCAAACGAAAATTTCCATCTGGGGGTATGAATGACAATATCCTTTCAGACTGGAAAAAAAATTACAATAAAGGTGATGACCAAGTATAACTGTAAACTTAATATTAAAAGAAGTACATAAAAATACATCTTACCTCCCAACGTTTAAATCTTACACACGGATGAAATGATACATCATCAAATAATCGTGGATTCACAAATGTTAGCGTCAGATCAGGCATTCCACTTAATTTTATACAACAGTCAATCTGTAAATTTATTATGTGTGGTTAATAAATAAAGTGATGTGACATTCCAAAAATCAGATTGTTAATTTTCAATTATTGCAAGTATTTTATAGTTTAGTGTTTAAAGTCACAAGCTTATTTTCTTTTATTAAAGAGAATCTTTCAAAGGGCGACAAGTTATTGAATTTTGGACACTTCTCCACACTGATTGGGAGAAGAACAAGCAATACAGTTAACCGAAGATACAATAAGCGATGATTTTAACCTAATTGTTGGTTTACTAGTTACTTATTTTTTCTATAAATTTAATTAAAATTTCATATTTAGGTATATCTACATTTGAATCCAGTCGTAACTCAAATGCTTCCCTTGTTATTCATAATTATTATCATATTCATTATTATCCAATCTACTCCACAACAAATTAAATAACATGAAATTACTATCAGGTAACTGGTATTTCGAAAGTATCTCTAAATTTTCTTTAATGTGAATTAGTAAGTCAAACAACTGAATAAAAGACACTTAATAATTCTTGGTAATTTCATATTACTACTACCACTAGACGATATAACAGGTTTCTGTTCTATATTTTTCAATTGATGTTTTATTGATTTTACTATTTGCTCAAAACGAAATGTCAGTTTTAATTCACTAGATGTATCACACCCAGACAATGATGCTAATAGTTCCATCTGTGACTTATGGAATTCATCCTCAATATACTTTACATCCTGTAAACTATAACCAATTAAATCGGTGCCCTCTATCATATCTATGCGGGCAAAAGCATAATCACGCCCAATGCGATTTCTATCGCCTGCATCCCACTATAAACGACTAGTTTCCATTGTTAAACAAAATCAACTATTTTTTATGATTTTAAACTGTTAACATGGGCTTTTTATTAAAATGCATCCATGTACCATCATGTGTAATGTTGCCAGGGATTTATTATACTCATACATTATTTATATTAGAGCTGTGCATTCTAGAAATATTATGTTTTTTTTGTATATAAAGTACATTTCATTTTACATTTTTTTTTATATATATAATTAAACATATAAAAAATGTAAAAGATGTCATAGATATTGTATAAAGAAAATCACTTCCTAATCAACTTTAATTTATCAAATATTGCTAAAAAGAATCATAATATTCAGTCTGGAATCACTTACATAACCCTGTATTTCAGCAGATACTGTTGCACCACTTTTATCTATTATTGCATCAACTTCTTCTATAACATCAAAGTATGCTTCATTGTTGGCATATTTAACTCCAGATCGACGCCATGGGACATTAGAAAGTTGTCCTGATGGGAGTATTGATGAAACACTGAAAAAGAATTCCAAATATAATTTTAATAACTTGGATGACTCAAAATATTTAAGAAATTTCTATTCTTGTATTGCTGTACTGTGAAATGCAAGGGAGTGATAATGCATGATATTCTTAATATGCTGTCACACAGAGACACATTTTTGTAATACATACAAGATATGTGTAATAATATATTATAATAAACTGTATACAAATGAATGTATAAAATTTTCTAAAAATATTAAAATAGCCACAAATAAAAGAAACAACTATATCTATTTATATGCTAGTAATACCAACTTAGATTTTCCAGTAACTGTATTTGCAATAGTTCTTAGAATATTTGGTGGTTTTATTAATTCCTTTAAGATGTTGCTCTCTGTCGCTAATGGGAAACCATTGTCCAACATTTCATCTAGCAGCTAAAAATGAAACAACAAAACTGTTAAATTGAGACATTTACATTAATAGGAATTTAAATTAATAAATAGTAATAATAATGTTAAAATAGTATCTTTACCTCATAAACTACAACATAGTTTTCTTTAATTATAGTCTCAGTACAGTCTGAAAAGTAATCCTGTAAAAAATATTATATTTTTAATAATAAAATAAGAGATGATAAATATTTTACATGTGCAACTGATACAAACCTGGAATGTATCAACAACCCGATGCAAGAATTCAATAACAAACAATGGTGATACCTCTTGCTTGCACACTGCTACCAGGGCTACCCCACCTTTCTGTATAGAAATCAAGTAATGATGAGGAGCAGCTAGAACCGGGGGCACATCCTGCAATAGATATAATCAATGAAAATATGTATTGTGCATTACAGACCCTGAAATAACTTCAATATGCCCCTTCTGATAAACTGCATATGGTAGTCTCTAGGGAAAACTTTGGCAGAGAGCTCAATCTACAGGCTGAGCATTTGCAGAAAAAAAATCTTTAAAAACACATTGTTAACGGCCATTTAAGTGCAATCATATGAGGATAAATCCTCTGTCAATGGAGAATGGTGCAATGACAAAAAATTTACAATATACAATCTGTTGTACAAATGGTAGAACACACAAAGGGAGACAAAGCCTCGCCTTAGACCTAATTAATAAATTAATGCATTTTCACTTGTACACCATTCCTAAGTCCCATCAAAAAGTAACTAAAAAATTTAATTGGAAGGTACATTGACCTATTATAGGTAAGATTATTGATATTAACACAGAATTAATAAAAATATCTCATAATCTTGGTCAATATCTGTCCACTACTAAACATTGGCCTACCCCATAGCTTGCCATAAAGAACAGTTTTGAGCCACCTGTATCCACTAACTCCCTACAATATGTTTGAGGTTGTCACTCACAAATACATATCTCATGTACTGGGGGATTATCCTACACTGGGTTTGCCCATACAGGGTTGCCTGTCTAGAGACTTTTTCTCCATCAGTTGCCAGTTTCTTTAAGCTATAAAATAATACTATTTAAAAATAAACAAAAAGACTTCAAAATAATTAGTTTTAGGAGATGTTTAATATAGATAAAACACATGGCTTACGAGACTGATGATGAGAGGTGGAATGGAAGTAGATAAATATTATACACTGTAGTACATAAGTAAATGAACTTTAAAAGAATTTTGATAAGGGCCAGACAGATATACATTTATTATTACACAATTTACAAAACAATACTTTATAAGGGCATGTGTTTATTCAGTTTTTTCACGAGTGAGATGAGAGATGATAACAGATATTAGCCCTAGTAACTACTCAGACATTTTACTAGTTATATCCAACCTTAATAATGTTGGTTGTCATACTTACATTAGGAGAAGCTCGCTGTGCTTCCAAATAATAATCACATACAGATCTTGGTATAACACTTCTCCAATGTTTCTCAAGGAAAACATCCCTATAATACACACATAGACATTTAAAAAATTAAAATTGCTAGCAAGATGAATATAGCCTTCTATAAGATATAAAATAATCATCATCTTATCATATCAGGCTTTAACTGTCCACTGCTGAACATAAGCCCTTTAGGGGTTTTGCCAGTAGTTGCCACGCTTGGCAGGCGGATTGGCAACCGCAATCAGGCTTTAGACATGTTTTACGAGGGACGCTGCTGCCCATCCCTCTCCCTCGTTTAATCGGCTCTTACTACACCCATGGGATAGATAGGGGTGGCCTTTTCTATGCCGGGACCACACGGCTATAAAATATAAAATAGTAATTTGAGAGAAAAAAAGAGTAGTTTAATTCAAACTTATAAAAAACATAAATATGTTTAGCAATTACAATTTAAAATTAAAGATAAGATATATTTTATTTACATACGTACCCAGAGGGATTTATGATAAATAGACTATGAATCATTATCGAAAACTAAATATTAAATGATTGTCTGTTTTGTTATCTAGTCTAAATTAGAAATGTACAACATGAAACATATTAAACAGATAAAACTTTCTATTTTGAAAATTAAAATATCAAATAATCTAATGTCAATGCAATGAGTGACGTAAAGAAGTGACGTTGTATTCACCACTAGTGATGTGCGATTTTACTAAATCAACTACTAATTAATTTATTGAGCAGTTGAATGCTTTAAAAATAATTTGTATCAGACGAATGATTTTTAAAGCATTCTACTAATTTTCTCTGACTACTAATATTATTCGACCACAAATTTGATTCATTAGTACTTATTGATGTACGAGTCGGCACGAACATTGCTGAGTCGACATAAATGCTAGAATGCTTCTTTTTTGTAAATGGGCAATAATATAATGTAGAAAGTATAATTTGTAGTAATTAATTATTATATATCTACGTTGGAACAGAATGTAGTTAATCACTGTTTTGGTATTTTTTTTTCTTGTCAGTCAGTTCGTTTGATGTAGTAATTGACACAGAAAATAAGAAACAGGGAACGGACTTGTTAATAATAAATTAGATAGATTTAATTGTTACTAGTTAGTAAAATTAAAAAGATATTAAAAATTAGTATATTACTAATTTAATAATCAATTTATAAAATTAGTAATCAATCATTATTCGAATAACAAAATCGTTTGGATTCATGCACCTCTCTTCACCATTAAGGTTCACAAACTAAATTCAATATGATTATGATTATAGCTACTTTAGTATCACTCATTATAACACTATCTCTTATGTTTATAGGCAATGGCAGTAAAAAGAAAAGAATTATTAGTAGTGAGGTTTAATGACCGCATTGTTACCAATATTCATATTAAAAGGTATAAATTAATAATTAATCGCAATAACGTATCTCTATCTATATGTATCATATATATATCTGTATCTATATCTATCTACCTGCGCTAACGATATGCATTGACGGGGCACTAGTAAGTAATGATAGGTAAGAATAAAAAGTCAGGTCAGATAACCCATTGTGATGAATACACCTGGAATTCAGCACAATGGTTTCCAGAAGGGACCACGTGGAGGTTGACCTGATGGGGTATACTATTGCTATAGGGTATATTTTACCAGAGGGAGACTTTGTACAAAAGTCGATTGCTTGGGTACCTCTGTCCCATTTGTGTTTCAACCGTGAAGCAATTGTGTTCGCATGGCTGTGTTTCGGTTTGAAGGGTGGGATATGGCGTGAATTTACTGGGTACAGAGGAATGATAATGATAATTCTTTATTTAATAACAATTTACACCTAGTTACATCTACTAGCCACCGAACTAGGCTGAGCCTGTATCTCAGTGGTTAGTTAAAAACTACCTTTGACTTAACATAAGACGGTACAATCTAAAACATAAATATGCTTATGTGCGTGCGTGCGTGCGTGCGTGTGTGCGTGTGTGTGTGGAATAACACCTGAGTCCTCAGGAATGGCAACGCATGGGGGGTATCATGGGCGAAACAGTATACTCTGTTATGTCCATGGTACTGCTCATGTCTATAGGCGACGGTTACCACTTTCCATCAGGTGGGCCGTCATCTTGTTTGCCATTCTAAGTTGTATAAAAAAATTACTAACAATAGGACTAGTAGCCTGCATTACTAACAACCCTTCCTACCAGTGTTTCAGGCGATTACAATAAAGAATCAGAATATACTCTTTGATCAGAATTCACTAGCAGTACGCGAATTAAAATAATTTCGTTATTCAATTAAATTAGTAATATTTGCATTAGAATAACTTTACTAATTAATAAACGACTAAAAATGAAAAACAAAACATATCCGTTCCCTCTATGCACTACTTTAAGAATAGATGGTACTGTATATACATATAAAAAAAAATCTATTCAGAAATTATTACTCCAATATCTTTAATAAGTAGTAATAATAGTAATTAATATACTTAATCCTCATTTTTTTATAAATGAGAAGTCCGAATGTTGCTAATTTTTAATAAATGTACTTAATTGACAACATTATTAACAATTAATAAAAATTCTATTGTTTATGTTGCGACAGAACGATCTTGAATCCACCATCGAGATTAAATTAAAAAAATAAAATAACAAACATTTTCGCATTTGATTGATCAATTCGAGTACACTATTTTCGCATCGTCTTGTACATGAACGGATACTAATCAATCATTTTAACGATTAGTAGTAGCACTTTATGACCAAGGTATTTTGGTTATATACTTTTTTTAGTAAGGTGACCAACTATACTAATTTACTAAGTTTTGTACTCTTTTTTCGAAAACCGTACTCTTTTCAAATCCTCTACTCTGAAACTACTCAGTTGTAAAATTTTATACTCATTTGTATTTCTAAAACATTTTTTTAGTTCATTTTATTGTAATTTTATTACTTACATTTTTTAAATTATTTTGACAGTGATTTGAATTTCATTCCAATTTCAGTAACACATATCCCACATAAAAATTTAAAAGTTTTAATAGAAATTTCCTTATGTTGTCCAGGCACTAATGCTGCTGTTGAAAGGGTATTTTTACTAGGGAATGATTCTTGGAGCAGTGAGAAGTCGCAACTTTCTGTAAAAACATTATTTGCCATCTTAACAGTCAAATTTAATATGCAAAAAGAAAGTTGTTCGGATGAGGCTACATTATTAGACGAACATCCTCATTTAGCAAAAAAATCCACTCCGAAGAAAAATATGTTTTTAAAAGTAAATAAAGTATTTATCGTTTTTTCTTCTTTTTTTTTCACCTATGAAATACTTGCAAAGTGTACTCTTTTTGAACAAAAAATAGTTGGTCACATTATTTTTAGTAGTACAATGAACGAATAAAACTAATACGGGGAATATTTTCAGATACATTCGTTTGATATACTCAATGAAATAATTAGTAATCGTATTAGTAAATTCACGCTTTCATAGAATGTGCTAACAGTCACCAAAGAATTATTGTAGGATTCTTTATGTTATAGGTATAAATGCTCTTTAGATTTTCATTACTACTTATTGATTAACGAAATAGGAATACTTTCAAATTATTTAGCTATCATACCCTTCTACTTATCCATAAAATTGTCTCTTCTAAACGGATTATAATAAATTTATTAACAAAAAAGTCGACTCAATACTATATCGTAAGCAAAGGTTACTATGAATAACAGAATGTTTTTATAAGATAAAACAAAATGTAAACACAGAGGCTAATAACAGGGTACACTAACGTACCCTGCAATCTCATATAAGTTATCTTAGTCAAACAATCACTAACAATTATCTTTCATCACTAATTAATAATAAACTACATTAATATCCTAAGACCATAACTAATCTTTTGAAGTAATACTAAGCAAAAATTCAAAACATCGTGACTGTTTATCTATAGTTTAGAATTTTAGTACTGAGGTTATAGACAATGGATTCAGTTATGAGACACAATTTGATATAAATTTATAAGTTTTAATCTATTTAGACCATATTGTTCTTTAGAATAAAGATTTTGATGCTATATCACAATATATTAAATATAAAACAGTTTTGATGCAATTTATTAAAAATTTAGTTTACAGTGATCCTTAATCATTTAGTAATATCAAATGTAAATTTTAGAAATATAGATTAATTATGCTTCAGAATTGACATTATTATGCAATTAAGTAGTCTATTAAATTAAAATTAAATAATGTATAGATTAAACAAATGAAATCAATCAGATAAAATGAAACTCTAAAATATTCTTAAATTTTTATTGAGACCTGCCTTTAAAAAGAATTAACGGTTGGATTTAGCTACTCGCTCCAACTCGTCCTTTTTCTTGATAGCATAAGAATTTGATGAACCTTTAGCAGCATTGATGAGTTCATCGGCAACACACTCAGCAATTGTTTTGATGTTTCTAAATGCAGCTTCACGAGCCCCTGTGCACAATAACCAGATAGCCTGGTTCACACGGCGTAGTGGAGACACATCCACAGCCTGACGGCGGACCGTACCAGCACGGCCGATTCTAGTTGAGTCTTCACGGGGACCAGAATTTATGATAGCCGTTACAAGAACTTGCAATGGGTTCTCTCCAGTTAAAAGATGGATAATCTCAAAGGCGTGCTTCACGATACGAACAGCCATGAGTTTCTTGCCATTGTTGCGTCCATGCATCATCAACGAGTTGGTCAAACGTTCCACAATAGGGCACTGAGCTTTACGGAAACGCTTGTGTGCGTACCTACCAGCAGAGTGAGGTAAATATTTAGCATATTTCTCCTTTACAGAAATGTAATCCTGAAGAGACATATCCGAAACCTGGACATCATAACAACTCCATCGCCCGAATAACTTAATTTCGGGAATATCAGCCGGTTGTGGTAGGGGCATGGTTTCAACAGCCATGCTGCCAGACTCGATGGTTTCTTCATTCCAGTTCTCCTCCGCCATTATTAAAGCCTAAAATAAACAATAACGTTTTAGTGCATCTAAAACATTTGAGTTATTTATAAAATTAATTTAAACGAAAAGAAAATACACACACTTTTTATTACAAAATAGAAATTATAACCTCGCGCTGTCAACAGTACACGAGAAAAGGAAGTAAAGCCTTTCTACAATTTGAGATGTTGGCATTGCTATTTTTTTTTAAGTTTTTTTTTATTATACGGTCCTGAATACTTAATATTCCATTTCTATAGTTACCATAGAGCAAGTTATCATTACGTTGTTGTTGTACGAAAAATTTATGTTATCTATTATAAAATATTAATTCCTAAATATTTATATACAATATAAAATAGATATAATACAAAATTATAATTATAATATGATAAACAAAAATGATTTTCAACTTTTTTATGAACCATTCCGACTTCACAAATCCATAGACATGTCTATGGTTTCATCCACAGACTAAGAACTTACAATTCCGAAATCTTTGTTCACATACATATTATTATATCTGTAGCTAAGAACAAGGAATAACATAGAAGGAATGACAAAATAAAAACTGTAAATCATATGGTTGCCTCCTTTCTTCTTATGCAAGTATAATTAATAAAAAGAGAATGAAAAATATAACAGCGGTTGCTATTTTTCTCAATTCATAGCAGGCTAGTGTATAAAAAATGTTATACGGCCGTATAACCTTACCAAATTCAGATACAACCTGCTTACATACTTTCTACATAAACTGTGAATAAAAACATATTATCTACTAATGTAAAATTTGTAATTGACAAATAATTGACGTATTTTTTTACACTTTCTATGCACTAGCCTGCTATGAATTGAGAAAAATAGTAATTGTTGGTGTATTTTAAGTTATCTTTTTACTAATTATATTTGCATACGAAGAAAGAGGCAACCCTATTATTTACAGTTTTTAATTTTATTACTCTTTCTATGTAATTCTTTGTTCTTAGCTATGAATTGATAAAGATAGCCACTGATGGTGTATTTTTCATCCTCTTTTTGCTAATCATATTTGCAAAAAAAAAAAAGAGGCGACCATATTATTGACAATTTTTATCTTATTATTTCTTGTTCTTAGGTCTGTAGGTTCCTTCCACAGGTTGCATCGCACGTAAGATAGATAGGTACACTAACGATTCTATTCTATTCTTTGCCTATGGTATTGTTCATTAGCAAAAAGTTCTTCTCATATTCCTGTTGCTTTTAAAAAAGTTGTATTTTAGTTTTGACTCTGTTGCATATTTATCTTGAATTCCTAATAATAAATTCAATAAAGAATTCTTCAGTAATTTTATAATAATCAATATCTTTTGTAAGTTACCATATTTGTATTATATTTTTAGCTAACAATTACACAAATATAATAAAAATTATCAACACGGACAGGTTATTACAGTGTACAAAGTTCGCGATGGCTGCATTGAAGAATACTAGTAATTTTAAAATGCTCACGGTTCTGGCACCAAAATATTGTCCACGCATAAATGCAAGAAGAAATCTAAATCTTCAAGAATATCACAGCAAAGATCTTTTAAGAAAGAATCAGGTTACTATTCAAGATTTTCGAATTCTTGATAACTCTTTGGATACTAAAGCTCTGACTGGTTTTAAAGCGAATGAGTATGTAATTAAAGCACAGATCCTCGCCGGAGGTAGGGGCAAAGGTCATTTCGATAATGGTTTCAAAGGAGGTGTTCATTTGACTAAAAATCCTGATGACATTTTGAAATTAGCGAAAAATATGATTGGGCGTAAGTTAATCACGAAACAGACCCCAAAAGAGGGTATTCTGGTAGATAAGGTAATGGTAGCAGAGAGTGTAAATATTAAAAGGGAAACATATTTAAGTATACTAATGGAGAGAAGTTACAATGGTGCAGCCTTGGTAGCATCCCCTGCAGGTGGCATGGACATAGAAACAGTAGCTGAGAAGACTCCTCACTTATTGAAAACAGTCCCCATTGATATATATGAAGGTATCTCAGAGAATTTGGCTAATGAAATTGCTGAGTTTTTAGAGTTCAAAGGCCAATTGAAAAATAAATGTGCTGAAGAAATAAAGAAGTTATGGAAACTATTTTTAAAGGTAATTCATACTGAATATAATAAACAATTACCTCTCTAGATAATTAAGGAATAAATATGCACAATTTATTTAAACCTAATGTTATAAACATTTTAACATGTGTAATAAACTAATTACATTAGCAGCAAAAGTTATATCCTACACTGAAGACATTGAAGCTTAAAGCTTAGCATTTTTCAGCAATAGGGTTGTTTAATTGTAAAATTTAATCATGTCTGACTAGGTGTTGATATTATCACTCGCAATTCTTATAACAATGTATAATATAATAAAACTATTCTAATAAATAGCATTATAATTAATGCTTCTATTATATAGTATTTTAATTAAGAACCTTGTAAAGTGTAATTTTTCACAAAATTTCAAAAGCTATGTGAAATATGAGATGTAATTATTACTTGAAATAACTTTAGGTAACTACTTATATTAGTCAGATTGTATTTGAGTAATAAGTTAAATTATGAATACATAGGTTGGGTACTATGTTAGCAAGGTGTGGCATCTGTGTACACAAACATATAACAGCTGTTTCAACTAGCTCTAAAAACACTATGTGTATGTTGCATTTAATGGGTGACCTGATATAATATCCTCTGCACAAGATATCTATTACTCTTGGTTGGATGGTTCATGTAAATTCACTATTTTAACCTCACCCTGTAATTACTTTCATTATTGCTAGCAACATACCTTGACAGGTCAATCTCTAAGCAGTTCTCACTGAATTAAAGCAAGGGCCAATTCTTCTGATTTCATTCCCTCCTGTCATTGTTTAGCTTATTTGCTATTTTAAGTTACTTTAAAAAAGCTGGAATCAATCAATTTATATCTCTAATAAAATCAGGTAATCATAATATTTATTTATATTACTTTAATTAAAAATAAATATAACAAAATATATTAACTTGCAGGTTGATGCTACCCAGCTTGAAATAAATCCTTTAGTGGAAACTGATGACGGAAGAGTTGTTGCAGTTGATGCTAAAATCAATTTTGATGATAATGCTAAATTTAGACAAGAAGACATATTTGCCCTTGATGATGTTTCAGAAACAGATCCTCGTGAAGTAAGTATTCAGTTTCTTTTGATTAAATAACTCCCTGGAGTTTTGTTTTTTATAGAAATTTACAACAATTTTGTTTTGCTAGTTCTAATTATTTATAAAATATGGACTCACACTAACTTCACATGAGTTAGGATGTATTACATATAAACCTTCTACAAAAAATGTCTAAATAAAAGTGAAGCCCATATCAAAATCCATTGCAACATGCATACAATTTTGACATGGATTTCACTAGTTTTAGTTTTTTCAACATGGACAGAAACTTTGATTTAGTATGTTATTATTTACCACATTATGGAGTCAGTCATTATGATTATGTAGAATACAAAAATAATAAATACCTGGTAAATGTCTACTACTCAAACCAAGTAAATCAATTCCTAATATACAACATCCAACCATAAATAAATAATTTTATAATACTATATTTAAATAAACTAAGTGTATATCTTTATCTGCATTGACCTTTTAATTGCAAATAGCTTGTTGATGTTTATTAATAGGTATGAAACTTGACGGATAGATATTATTAACTCACAGAATATTACAAAAAAAAAAATTTATGTTGTGTTTATATTTTTTCTTTATTATAATGGGTAATAGTCTGTTTCCAGCATTCTTTGCACCAAACCCCTTTTTTGCATTCCCAATGTGAATTATATAAAACCTAAAAATGTATATATTTTCACCTCATATTAGGAAATCAACAATTTCTTTTTTTTTTAATAAATCAGTTTGGATGCAATGATTATTTTTTATGCAACTTAGAATGATAAACAAGCTGACAGCCTACCTGATGAAAAGTGGTAACCACCATGATGAAAAGTGGTAATGACTATGAACATAAACAGTACCATGGACATATTAGATTATACTGGGTCACCCATAATACTCTTTATGAATTGCCATTCTTGAGGATTAAGGTATTATGCCTTTGTACTGTGTAATTTCATTGTCATATCCCACCCTTCAAACCAAAACAGCAATGCATCTTGCTTCACAACAGAGACATGAATGAGACAAAGGTACCCAAGCAGATGACTTGTACAAATTCAGCCTCTTTCAAAGTACATAGTTATATATTTAACATACAAAAGTAAAATGTAATTACATAAAACTGACAATAAATTTTTAATGTTCCATTAGTTTTCAATGAAAAATAAAAAAACGCCCAGAAAAACCAATCCACAAATCATATTTATATAAAGTACTTATCTTTATATATGATTATTATATTATTGCCTTTTTATATATATTTCTAGTAGTCTTATCTTTTATACATATAAACATCCATTTTAAATAAACATACATTATCAATCAGTTTTTTTCATTACTAAAATATTGAATGAAAATATTGCATAATAATGTTTATTTATTTTTTTTATTTTAATAAGAATTCTTTAAATAAATTATTTTAAATAAATATATACTTGAGTGTCACATTAATTATGCAAAACACAATCAATAAATTGCTTCTGAAAGTTGTCTACCTGTTTATAGTTTCTATCCATTTTTTTTATTTTTATATAATGCCAAGTACCAAACTAAGCAGAGCTTTTGCTATGCTTGTGGCATGCTATATTTTCTAATGTATATATTTATATTGTTTTAATATATAAAAACCTGTGTCACTATGTTCTTTTACTCTAATCTCCAAAACTGCTCAACCGATTTTAATGAAAAAATTTCATTAAAATGTTTATAACAATTTTATTAATTATGTATTGTTTACACACATACAAATTAAGAGATATAAAAAATGTTACAAATTTCTTAAATTTTAGAGAGAGGCAGCATCTTGGAATTTAGTTTATATTGATATGGATGGCAGCATTGGATGTATGGTGAATGGTGCTGGTTTAGCTATGGCTACAATGGATCTAATCAATTTGAATGGTGGAAAACCTGCAAACTTCCTAGATCTTGGTGGTGGTGTTGGCCAGTCTCAAGTGTCAGCTGCATTAAAGATTCTTGAATCAGATCCCAAAGTAAAAACTGTATTTGTTAATGTTTTTGCTGGTAAGTATAAATTTTATATACTTATATTTGTCCATATTCCAAATTTACTCTTTCTATAGTTTTTTAATGGTAATGGTATGGTAACTCCACTTGCACTATCAGAACAATTTGACCGAGTACAGTAAGGTATGATAAGTGTGAATGAAAACAAGTCAGTTGGCCCATTGTCATGAATTCATTACAAATTAATCATGATGTTTTCCTAGAGGAATCATGTGGAGATCAGCCTGACAGGATATATAGCTAGTAATGATGCCAGTTCCCATTACTAAGAACACCCCCACCCCCTTATAAGCATATAAAAAACCCAATATCACAAACAAGGATGTGAAACTTTGATTTTTCCAATGTCAGTATAATTAGAGATTTTTTCAGGAATAATTTGACACAAAATAAAAAATCTAATAAAAATTTTTAAACCTAGGTATCGTCAGCTGTGCAACTGTTGCTAACGGAATAGTTGCAGCATGTAAAGAAAACCCTCCAAAATACCCATTAGTCATCAGGCTGGAAGGTACCAATTCAGATATTGCGAAGAAGATTCTAGAAGAATCAGGATTACCAATGACTATCATAAATGACGCCGACGAGGCTGCAAAGACTGCTGTCAAGTTAGCACAATAAGTATAACTAATAATAAAAGTACACTATGTAATTCAAATCGTATCAGAAAACCATACCTAACCAATGTATTGTATCGAGCGAAAGCAGTAGACAAGTACAGATTTTAAACCATAAATACCGATACATGGAAAAATTCGCATAAAATGTCCTGCTTGTCCAAGATAGTTTTGTATTGTATACAATTAAATTCTGTCAAGCACATATATAAAAGTACAAAGGTATAAAAGTACAATGAAATTATATATTATTTTCACTGTGAAATGTCCTCGTCTACGCAGGCTCTTGCTGTTTATAATTTATCTTTAGACTTAAGCACAAATACTGTTTCTTTCCCATACATATATTTCACAGAAAACTATATATATAATTATTATTTATTTATAAATCATTGCTATTTATTTCACAAGTAGCATGCAACCATTCAGTGAACTCGGGATAATAATACGAATATGATATTAATGAACTTATGTTTTATAGACTCATGTATTTAAAAAAAAAATGGTTTTGATCAACTTTCTTTTATATTTATATTTTATGTTTTAGCTATCTCAGATTTGATTTAGCAATAAGTCCCCTAAAGTCATATATATATAGTTTCTTATTAATATTATTATATTTTTTAACACTGAAATGAACTAAATCACGATTCGATATCGGTGCTAGTAGGTCGCGAGCTTACGATGAAAATTTGGTTGGCCCATACAATTCTGACGCATAATTACATACAATCTCAAGTGCTATTTTTTTAGAGAATGATACATTCAACCGATCAATTTTACATGTTACGAGTATTATGCGGGAATTTTTTTTTTTATTATTGTATTATTTTTAATAAATTTTAATTGTGAACTGTATATTATCAAGACTGAATTCCGAATTATTTTCGAAATGTCACTGTTTTCTTTAATAAAGTTTTTGTTATTTTTGTACATAACTGTACTTTATAATGTAAAAAGTTGTTGTTATATTAGTTATTGGAAAATAAAATAAAATGAGAAGAAATAATTTTTTTATTAACAATAAAATACAGAGCTATTTTATACTGAAGTATAATAATTATTACTGGTCAATAATTAGACACGGAATAGATTTAGCCGGCGCCCTTGAGGTGAGGCTTCACTGCTAGATAGAGACATGTTAGCTTGGATTTCCTCGAAACTAGGCAAATGTGCCAGCTTGCCCCGTGCAGCTACAGACGGTCGTCCGTTTAGCATACGCCGCGCAACACGTACAATATCATCTGCTGTTATTTTTTCTGAAATATTAAAATAGATTTATAATAATTTAAAATTAAAAATAAAAACGATTTCATTGTTGACAAAAGTAATATGAAATCAACACGGGTTACTTTCGAGTTGGTATAGAATGAAAAAAAGAATTTTCAAAGTCCGTTTAGAATTGACGAAAATATGGCAATACAATAAAATTCTAACGAATTGAGAGCTTAGGACTTTTGGCACTTCTATGAGACGTACGGGGAGGCGTCACGTCAGGTAACCGCTTAAGCCCTTTCCTTCCCCGCGGACGACTTGCCGTCCACACTCCCGACGGTGTTATCAGTATATAATCAAGATTGTTAATATTTTTATTTTACAATTAACGCCTCTCTTTAATCACCGAGATGATAAAAAAAAATTATACAGCTATAAAGAGTAATTACTCTTTAATTAAACAAATTGCCGTGACAAAACATATTCACACGAAATATATACGAAAATAATCCACACGTGTCAGCTTATCAACCCTAATTCATGTTAGAACAAGGATGAGATTTTTTTTTTATATCAGGGCAAACGAGCAATCGTTTCACCTAATGTTAAGTGCCTACCGCTACTAATGATCCCCCGCAACATCAGAGTTAGGGGGGGGGGGGGGGAGGGATTGTTAGTAATGCAGACTGAGAATCCCATTGCTAGCAATATACCCAACCAGGTCGACCTCCTCGCGGTTCTCCCTGGAAACTATCATGGTTAATTCCTGATGAATTCATCATGATGGGCTAACTGGCCTGTTTTCATTCTCATCTATCACCCTAACTAGTGCTCCGCCAGCGTATCCCGTTAGCGCAGACGGGGTTACCATACCTTTTTCACCCATCAAAAAAAAACATTATTGCCGCCGGACTTTTAAAAATGAATATGCTCTTTTCTTGAAGGTTATGATGTATCGGTAAGCAAATATTGCTGCTGGAAGTTGGTTCCAAATAGTGATTTTGCGTGGAAGAAAGTGCCTTGAAAAACGCACGGTAGAGGACCGCCACTAATCCAGATGATTGACATGGGACTTTGGTTTGTGGCGAGTTGTACGGTGGTGAAAATCAGCAACAGGTTGTAACACTCCTCATGATATATCCAGTAAAAGATGCACACAGATGCAACATTTCTATACACTTTCAGTGGATAGAGAGTCGGACAGTAAGGCGCCAATCGTCAATAATTTGAGCTGCCCGACTTTCGAGTGTGATACAACGGAAGGAGCTGGTGGTATGGCTCTCCTGCCTATAGGTGAGAATAGTATTCCAAATGTGGCGTGAGTAAAGCTTTATGCAATTACTAGCGGTGTTCTGCCATGAAATACCGTTTTTCTGTTGAGCACTCCTAACTTTTTGAAGGCAATCTTAGCCTTTTCCTTTAAATGACCGCAAAACTGGACGTCGCTGATCGTCGTCGTCAAAGATTACCAAAACTCGACTTATTATCAAGAGCAGTGCTTTGAAAGTGAGGAAATACGACAAACATCGTCTTTTTTACGGTGAATGCGCAGACTTGTATCTTCTTTTTAGGGTTAAATTGAACAAGATGTATGTTCCACCCCAGATCGCAACTTCATCGAGTGAAGTTTCGATTTCAAACGAGCATATTCCAGCACTCAGGAATGGCAACGCATGGAGGGTATCATGGGCGAAATAGTATACTCTGTTATGTCCATGGTACTGCTCATATCTATAGGCGACGGTTACCACTTTCCATCAGGTGGGCCGTCAGCTTGTTTGCCATTCTAAATTGTATAAAAAAAACTCATCTGTATGTGCCCGCAAGATATTTGCATGGCCGATACATAATGCATCCTCCGTACTCTTATGCGAATAGCAATGAATATTAGTGATCTGTAATATATCATTGATATGGAAAAGAAACAGGGTCAGGGATAGTACACAGCTTTGCGAGACACTAGCATTCACAGGTTTTAAATCAGAGCATGCTCCATCAACTACGATCTTTATACTACGTTTCTTGAGAAAACTGGCGACCCAACTGCATAATCTTGCAGGTACCCTAAGAAGCACCAGCCGAGCGTCCATGTCGAAAGCGTACTAGCGATCACAGATCAGCCAGTGCTCTTATGCTAGGTATAGGCCTATAGTTAGCTGGATATGAACAATCTGCCTTTTTGGGGATTGGGTGCACCAAAGCAGTCTTTCAAAACTTTGGGACTATACTTGAGTAATAGAGCAAAAAAAATGCCTAAGAACCGGAGACAACTTTGGCGCGCACATTCTAAACACAATCTAATCTGAAAAATCAATAAAACCTATACTAACCAATTTCATTAATGAAGAATGAAGGTGGTTTCCTTTTGCCTGTAGCCAGCACTTGACGGCCGACATCTTCAAACACTACTGGTCTTGCTTCCAGATTCATAAGCAACATTGACTGAAGCTGTGTCTTTGCTCTCTGTAAAAGATATTACATTGTTATGCTATTTATTCATTATCTGATATCTACACAAGTCAACAATCTTAGACAATTTTTAATAGAATTTCGGTAAAGATATATATAATATATTATTTGTAAATTCATAGTATATAAATATTTTAAAAATGTTATTGTGGAAACTTTTGGATTAGATATTTTAGAGTATAAGAGAATGATGAATGTGAAGATAAAGATAAATTTATTTTGCAAACATGTGAAATAAACTAATATCAGCTCATATGAGTAGAGCCATACTCAGCAGTGGAACAATAAATAACATACCTTTAGTTCAATTTCGCCGACCTTTCCAGCCATATTAGCAAGTTCGCGAGCAATTACGATCGTCGTATCGTATAAACGATTCGGTGGCGATGCTGAATGAACACAAAATAGACCAGTGTCTCCGTAAGCATGATTATATGCAGTTGCATTGAACATCCAGTGATATCTGGAAATTATTTTAAATAAAATTAATTAGAAGTATTCCAAGAATAATAATTTAAATATGTACTGATTTTGTGCTTATGAATTCAATATTTACAGTACCTATTTAGTACATTAGTATACAGGCGAGTATACATTCCCTTGCCTGGTCCGCCTGCCGAGAACGACCCACCACCACCCATCATCATATTCAACACACAAGTAGCCACAAAATCAGGATCACCGTGGGAACAGCCTGCAATAATAATACATTTATAGCAATATAATACAGTTTGTTTGAATGTGGTAAGTCAGATTTGAAAAGTTATTTTTGCATTTCTTATTATTATATTTGATAGCTTATTTCTTGAGGAAACTTATAAGGTGTTATCACGATACTATCCGCCGCGGACGAAGCCGCGGGATACGGTTAGTAAGTATTAACATTAAAAATAGTGTATGGTTTATACTAATAGTAAACAAAATATTGACTTTTTATACAACTTAGAATGGCAAACAAACTGATAATGCTGGCAAATAACTTGCTGAAAATGGTAACCGTCGCCAATAGACATTATACTATTCATGTCTATAGACATAACAGAGTATACTGTTTCGCCCAAGACACTTCCTATGCGTTGCCATTCCTAAGGACTCAGGTGTTATTTCTATGTATCCTGTAAATTCACTACCATATCCCACCATTGAAACCGAAACACAGCCAGGCAAAGACAACTGCTTCACGGTAGAAACATGGGACAGAGGTGGTCAAGTAAACGACTTGTACAAAGTCCCTCTCTGATACATTACTGTTAATTTAAATACATGTATCTACTATTGTTATTGCTTTAGGCTTTAAGGGCTTAACTAATTCTTATGAAACTTGGCACACTTATAATGTTATATGCGGAGGCAAGCAACATTTAGGTAAATCAATATATTCTAATCATGCAATGTTACAGGGACAGTTAATGTGACTCCATTCTATTTAATATATTTGAGCTGTAAGTAATTCATAAAGAAATTACTTACTTTCTAAGCCAATAACCACATGTGACAATTCAGGTAAATCAGATCCTGGATATAAAGGTATTTCACATTCTTCCTGAAAATAATTATTAAAATCTCATTTAAATGTGGAATGTGACAATGTAGACAGTACTAAATATTAGTAATTATGTTTGTTATTCTAAGTTTTATAGTATAAAAAATTCCAATAACCTGTTCTAATCCTCCAGTATATTGTGCAATAGATTTGTCAACATTAGGTTTAAATGAACTGGTTTCTTCAGAGTGCCATGTTGGCTTCATATCAACAAAATATTTCTGAACGAACTCCACAAATGGCCCATGCTCAACCTGAAATTTTAAATAAATAAACTATATAGTATGTATATAGGTGGATGAATCACTTTATAATTATAGCAATAGTGAAATTTTAAATCTATGTTAATTTATTTTTATACTTTATTGCACACCTTAAAATAAATACAAATATTTATTGTAAAAGCTTTTTCCAGCAAAACTAAAGTAAATCACTTAAAAAGTTTGTTTTAAATCAATAAATACATAAAAGTAAATTACCCCAACTGCTGCAACTACCATTCTGTCAGGCGTATAATGATTTTTTAAATAATTTAAAATTATGCCACGATTTATTTTATTAACATTTTCTGGTGGGCAAATTTTTGGCAGTCCAAGTGTATTTCCTTTATATGCCGCCTACAAAAAAGCAAACAAATTATGTATTATATGAACCAGTAAGTATATAATGATATACATTAAAGAGTATTACTAACAGCATGTATCATATCCATTAGTATTGTTTCCTGTTCTGGTCTCATAGATAATGTATCTAATTCAAATGCAACAGCTTGCCTCGCTGCTTCTATTTCTTCTGTAGATAGTTGAGGCCTTAAAGTTACTTCAGCTAAAACCTAAAATAGAGTAAAAGATAAAAATTTTGGAAATTAATGAAATGGTAACAATCCTATCTAGTAGCCCTATGTACATATCACATTCACCATAAAAAAAATATGCCATAAGAACCATGATAAAATTTTGGTAATCAGAAATTCAGTAATCAAAAATTTTATTATAAAACCAAATAGAACAATATAGAAGAAAATAATCAATAAAGCATGATTGAATTTAAAATGTTTTTCTTTATTAATATGGGTTATTTATTGTAGATAAAGTTGTGTTAATGGTGCCAACATTATCCTAGACACATTGACACCTTACAACTTCCAACAAATGTGCTGACAGCAATCAATTATGTTTCTTCTCCAGTTGACAATTTTTTAAATGAAAACAGGTCCACTTTAATTCTATTAGCCATAACTTAAGTATATGTATAATTGGTCAAATCTAAAACTGATGAAGACATTATGAATAATATATTTTGTATTATTGTATATAGTCTAGAATCTAACCTGTGTAACAGCTTCCAGTCCTCTAGAGTCAGCACTAGTAGCATAAACAGTAGTATCTCGAGAGCTCTGACAATCACATATACCCCCATGTCTTTCAAGTTCCCTAAGCATAACATCACGAGTTGCAAATTTATGGGTAGCCTACAACAAAATGGTATCTTTAAAAGAAAATTTAAATGATATAAATATATTCATGATTGTAATTCCAGATGGAGTATTTCCAAAGGCATTTCTTACAGTTTGTCATCGTGATAAAGGTAATTTTGCTAAGTATATATGAATCCAATGTGACTAGGGGGCAAGAAGCAAAAGTCTACAATATGCCTCTGATATATTATCTATAATTTTGAATAAATTTTGTAACATTTATGACATTGAGTAGCATTTTTTAATAAACTTACTCCAAAGCTTAACTTTTCAAGAAAGTGACAGATACCATTTGGGTACGCTACTTCAAATCTTGGTCCGGAATCAATAACCACTGAAAAAAAAAATACATAGTGAATAATGTATCATAAAATATTGTTATGAATAAGTTTTGTTAAAGCAAAATAAACATGTCTCAAGGGTTACCATTTTCTATTAACTAAAATTAGTTTTTGCACCCAATAAAATTTTGACACTGGTATTCTCAGATTTAAGAAATAGGTTTATTTTCATACAGCTATAAACTACTGGCCAGTTGTAATTAAAAAAAATATGGTTTTTAAATTAAGTTGACACACTCTCAGAAACAATCGCTGCTTTCTGTATCTTTTAAATTGCCAAGATAGCAGTTAGCATAACTATGATGTGCTATTCTAATATAATAATACAAAACTCCCGAACTATGTCCTGTATCAGGGCAATTTCCATCGACATGGAAGATCATCCTTGTACATCCTGTACCTAAAAAGGGCGATAAGTCGGGCCCTTCAAATTACAGGCCGATTGCGATCGCTTCCCTTCTCTCTAAGGTGATGGAGCGTATAGTTAACGCACAGCTGTTAAAATACCTACAGGTATTTTAACAGCTGTGCGTACGATTTGTTGTGTGACCGCCAATATGGCTTTCGCGATAGTCGCTCAACTGGTGACCTCTTGGTATATCTTACGCACCGATGGGCATCAGCCATTGAGAGTCAAGGTGAGGCGCTCACGGTTTTGATGTTGCAAAGGCATTTGACCGGGACTCGCATCGGGGTCTTCTATCGAAATTGCCCTACTATGGACTTCCCGACAGCTTCTATAAATGGGTCGCCAGTTTTTTATCCAGCAGACGCATAAAAACCGTTGTATATGTAGATAGCATGGATATTAAAGCTGGCGTCCCGCTTGGCTCTGTGCTGTCCCCAACGCTATTTCTGCTGCATATTAATGATATGTTAACCCTTGGTAACATTCATCGTTGTGCAGATGACAGCACTGGGAATGCCCATTATACGGTCGTACCAATATCCTACGTTCTGTTGTGGAGAACAATCTTGAACAGCTTGTGTCTAAAATCGAGAGAAAGTTAACTGGAGTCTCTGATTGGGGACGACAAAACTTGGTCCAATTTAACCCCTCTAAGACACAAGCTTGCACATTCACCGCTAAGAAAACCCTATTTGCTGTGGCCCTACAGTTCCAGGGCATGTCTCTTAACATCTCTAAAAGCATTGGGATCCTTGATGTCGACATCTCTAGTGACGTACAGTTCCATGGCTACCTCGAAGATAAAGTGAAGCTGGCATCCAAAAAGCATTACTTCACGTCGGATCAGCCATTAATGCTTTACAAATCGCAAATCCAGCCCCATATAGAGTATTGCTGTCACTTATGGGCGGGATTACCTAGATACCAGTTTGAACCCTTCGACTCAGTGCAATGACGAGCTATGAGAATTGTCGATAATCCCAGGCTTGCAAGCGGTATCAAACCCTTAAGTCTTAGGAGAGATTTTGCCTCACTCTGCATGTTCTAATGCTTGTACAACGGGTTGTGCTCAGAGGAATTATTCAATATGATGCCTACGGCCACTTTCATCATATGGCTCACCATTGACAGGGAGTTCACCCTCATACTCTACAGCCTAAATGGTCATGTACAATGCGGTTTCAGAGATATTTTCTCCCATGAACACTCAGGTTATGGAATGAGCTCCCTGCCAAGGTTTTTCCAAGAGACTACAGCATGGGGTTCTTCAAAAGGGGGTAAAAGAGGTTTCTTCAGGGTCGGCAACGCACACATAATACCTCTGGTATTGCAGGCATTCATAGGCTACAGTAACCACTTACCATCATGTGGGCCATATGCTTGTTTACCACCTCAGTGGTATAAAAAAATAATAAAAAAAACAAAATACTCACCTCCAGCAGTACAGAACTGTCCAAATTTTTTTTCAGATGCAACACGCAGGCCATTGCTAAGGGTTGTTACTTCAGTAAAGTAATCTTCTGACTTTGCAGAAGTATATATAACTGAAGGTAAATTTGTTAGTGGCTCAGAAAGCGGAGGTAAAGGACTCACACTACCTTTTGGTAAAGCCTGAGCTTGTTTATCAAAGTCTTGGCTAAATTTTCTAATACCCCATCTAGTATTAAGCCTGAAAGTATTTTTTATAAATGGACATATATAAAAAGTATCCTTTAATCTTTACTTACAGTTGTAATAAACTTATTATCCAAACCATTATAAAAAAAAAAAACAATAAATGTTATTTATTATTTTATGAAAAAACAAATAAAAAAATATTTATGTAATAATAATAATGCAATGTAATAACACACTGCGTAATAAAATAAAAATTTGTTACGAAAGAATTAATATCTAATAAATCTTACCCATTTTTTAGAGAAAATAACCTAGAGAAAAGAAATTTCACATCAGTTACATGTGACATATTTATAATTAATTAATTTTATAAATTACAGAATGCTGAAATATTTATAGGTAAAAAAGAATATGATACTTAGGTAACATATAAATATTTTCTTTAAAATAATATTAAAAAATAGACTGTTATTCGCAGAATTTAACTTTTTTAATTTTGACGTAGGATTAGTGATGTAGCGATGAGCGACTTTAACCTATTACCAATTATTCTACTGAATTCGATTACTAATCAATAAGTATATGGATGGTTCTATTCTTGATGGAATTTTCAACGGCTCTTCGTATTTCGTATATTTCTTTTTAATTTTATCACTTTAATTTGCAGCCAAGCCTAAAAACCTAACTTTTTTTATTATGGCACTGAAAATAAGCTCGATTTTAAAACATATATATACAAAAATTATACTTTGAAGAGTCAATTTCTCAGTCTCCTGACTTGTCTCTTGTACAAAACAAAAGCTTTGATGCTTAATAATACCCCAGTTTTAGAAATAAAATAGATGTTTTGCACTGAAATATAAATCCTTAATAAATGAACTTTTAACGGGTTTGTGTATTTCGTTACTAGTATTAAATTTAATTAAAAATACTGCATTATATTTTGTCTCTTTACTTTTACATCAGTCTCCTACTAAATTTTATGAAATTATCAAAGTGTGCGTAATTTAGTTCGTTGGTGTTCTGTTGAAATGAACGATCGAAGTGAAGTTAGCTTATGATCGTTTGACTACGTCTAGCTTGCGTTCTTGAAGTCGCAGTGACAAGTTGTTTGAGTGAGATTGGGTCGCGATCGGTCAGCTCCTCAGTATCCTGCACGTAATATGACAAAGACAGTAATTACCAGCTTTTTTCTACCAGTTAAATCTAGTAATATATTGAAGTACTTGTATAGATTTGCTTTGATTTAACATTAAAATGGTGTGTAGACTTTGTTATTAACCAATTACTAAAATATTCTCAGTCTCCTGTCCTCAGTCTCCTGTCCTCAGTCTCCTGCCAATTTGATGAGCAGGAGACTAAGATTAAATCAGTATACTGAGACTTAGTATTCATTTTGGAAATGATTATCTATTTAATACTTAATTATTTTACTAATTATAAATTGCCATACTTGTTTTATACTAAATTATTAAGCAAACTAGGAGATACCTTTACATGCCCGGAGTGCTTATAAGACTGCGACTACAAATAAATATGCATTCAGTATTCATATATACTGAAATGTAATTAACATATAATTTGCAAATTTTTATTAAAAGATTTTTAATTTGTCTTTGAATAAATAGGTATTTTCTATTGAATATTCTCAAAAAAAATGTTGTTTGTTCTTGATCTAAGATTTATAAGATTGTAATATGACTGATTATGATTATCGTACAGTGAGATATTGTGAGGGATATAGTGTGAGTGTGTGATTAAGTAAAGTTGATGATTAAATAAGAAAAGTATTATAGAAAACTGAATGTTAATACCTCTGTCTATTAATACTCAATAATAATTAATAATATTACTTAAAAACCTGTAAGAAGGTTATGAAGAGTTTCGAGTTTTATGTTTCTGATTTTTTTCTGTGAGTTTTATCTTCCAATCTAATTCAAATGATTCTTCATTACGTAAAAATGTTAATTATTTAGTACCTGAGTAATTTGATTACAATAAACATTGGTTTACGATGACTTATTTGTGGCGTATATATATATTGTATATATAACAAACCTTTATAAATACCTTTTGAATTTCTGTAGAAAAATAAATTATAAATAACAGCGCATGCGAAGTTGCGCGCGCAGTATAAATTGGAAATTGTCATTCTTTTTAAAAATATATAGACGTTTGAACATTGAATTAAATATTTTACTTACTCATTTCCCATAACTGGTGACCCCGTAAAACGCATATTACAATGGCATCGTCTAACAACAACGACGAAATATTTAAAGTGGGAATACGAGTTCCGCCATTTTGGCCGGAGGAACCCGAAATATGGTTTGCTCAGGTTGAAGGCCAATTCGCCGTCTCAAATATAACAGCAGATGCAACGAAGTTTAACTACGTTATTGGACAACTTGACCACCAATTTTCAAAGGAAGTGAAGGACATTATAATTTCACCACCTCCGACGGAAAAGTATGAAAAATTGAAAACTGAACTTATCAAACGTCTAAGTGCCTCACGCGAGAAGCAGGTAAAACAACTACTTATGCATGAGGAATTGGGAGACCGTCGCCCGTCACAATTTTTACGGCATTTACAAAGCCTCGCCGGACCGAACGTGCCAGAGGACTTTCTCAAGACCATATGGACAAGTAGACTACCACGCAACGTACAGACAGTGATAGCTGCTCAACCTACAGCGTCACTAGAGGTACTTTCTGATTTGGCAGACCGTATATTGGATATTGCCCCTGCTACTCCGCAAGTGTCAGCTGCATCAACATGTGGATCATCACTTGACGCTATGGCCAACGAGATAGCTGAACTCCGGAGGCAGATGAAAGTGCTTTTGGATCGTCAGTCTCGTCCCCGTTCCTGTCAGAGAAGTCGTAGCCGCTCTGAAACGCGATCGGAATCCAACTATAGAAAATTTCCGAAATGTTGGTATCATGCAAAGTTTGGTTCCAAAGCGAAACGATGCGTAAAGCCTTGTGATTATCAGGCGGGAAATGCACAGGGCGGTCGGTAATGGCGACGAACGGCCGTCCCAACACGTCTGATCGCCTGTTCGTCGTAGATCGTCGGTCGAAGATGCAATTTCTAATCGATACAGGAAGCGATGTTTGTGTCTTCCCACGACGAGCACTGCATGAGCGTCGTCCTAAATCAGATTTCCAACTTTCTGCTGCTAACGGTACTACGATCAGCACATTTGGATGTACTCACCTGGATTTGAATCTTGGTTTGCGCCGTGATTTCCCATGGCGTTTCATTGTTGGTGACGTCACTAAGGCGATTATAGGAGCAGATTTTCTAAAGTTCTATGGTCTTCTAGTAGACTTACGTAACCAACGATTGTTAGACAACACAACGACACTGTCCGTCGTTTGCTCTCCTGCACACTCGTCGACTGCAATTTCTTCTATCAAGATACCAATCGGCGAGTCTCGCTACGACCAAATCCTGAAGGAATTTCCTGAAATTACAAATCCATCCAGAAAACAAGCTGATATCAAACACAATACCGTTCACTTCATCAGGACTACGCCCGGACCTCCAATTTACTGTACTCCACGCCGTCTAGCGCCAGACAAATTAAAAATCGCAAAGGCAGAATTCGAGTCTATGATTAAATTAGGTATTGCTCGACCATCGGAAAGCTCCTGGGCCTCGCCATTACATCTGGTACCGAAGAAGGATAACGGATGGCGGCCTTGTGGAAATTACCGAATGCTAAATGCTCGCACCATTCCTGACAGATATCCAGTTAGACATGTTCATGACTTCACACACAGTATAGCAGGTTGCACAGTATTCTCAACAATAGATCTTGTCAAAGCCTATCATCAAATCCCAGTAAATCCAAGCGATATCCACAAGACTGCCATCACAACACCGTTCGGGCTATATGAATTTCCTGCCATGACGTTTGGTTTACGAAATGCTGGGCAGACTTTTCAGCGTTTTGTTGATGAAATGACGCGTGGATTGGATTTTGTTTACCCTTACATTGATGACTTCTTAGTCTTTTCCAAAAATGAGGATCTTCATGAGCAGCATCTGCGTATACTATTCAATAGATTGAAAGATTACGGAATTGTCATCAATATTTCAAAATGTAACTTTGGTCGGTCTGAAGTAAAATTTCTTGGATATAATATATCAGCCAATGGTATCAGACCTCTTGATGAGAAAGTTGAAGCGATCAAATCGTTTCCTCCTCCCAAGACAGTTCGAGAACTCCGCAGATTTTTAGGGATGCTGAATTTCTACAGACGATTCATTCCCAGCGCTGCCGAAGTTCAAGCACCTCTACATGCTCTCATGACTGGCTCAGTTAAAGGTTCTTACCCTATCAACCTGTGTGATGATACCCTTCAAGCCTTTGAAGATTGCAAAGAGAGTCTATGCCGCGCTACACTTCTTGCTCATCCGGATTGCCAATGCAGACTTGGTCTTGTGACAGATGCTTCAGAAACTGCAATCGGAGCCGTCTTACAACAATATAAAGATGGAAATTGGCAACCGTTAGCCTTCTTTTCACGTAAGCTAACCTCAGCGCAGCAAAAATATTCTCCTTATGATCGAGAGCTGCTTGCCGTGTACGAAGCATTAAAATATTTTAGACACATGGTTGAAGCCAGGGATTTCACGATCTTTACAGATCATAAACCATTGTGTTACGCCTTTCACCAACGCAGGGATAAATGTTCACCGAGACAGTTTCGTCATCTGGATTTTATATCCCAGTTTACAACTGACTTGAGACACATCTCGGGAAAGGACAACCTAGTCGCAGACACATTGAGTAGAGTGGAAGAGGTGGAACTGTCTATCAATTTCTCTCAACTTGCCGAGTCACAAGCAGCTGATCCAGAATTAAAGAATCTGTTAGAACATGGAACTTCATTACGTTTGGAGAAGGTGAAGATACCTGGAACGCATGCAGAATTATATTGCGATGCGAGCACTCCAATTCCTAGACCCTACGTAACAAAGTCCATACGCAAACAAGTCTTTGATAGCCTGCATTCATTGAGTCATCCTGGTGCTAATGCAACAATCAAGTTAGTAGCAGAACGCTATGTATGGCCAGGGATTAAAAAAGATTGCAGAGAGTGGACGCGTACATGTCTAGCTTGTCAACGTTCTAAGATAACTAGGCATGTATCCTCACCTTTAGGTACCTATCAGCTGCCACGAGCTCGATTCATGCATGTTCATATAGATCTCATCGGACCACTTCCAATCTGTAATGAAAATCGCTATTGCCTCACTGCTATAGATCGATTCACTCGATGGCCTGAGGTGATACCAATACCCGATGCTACAGCTGAAACAGTTGCTAAAGCTTTTCTTGCTGGGTGGATATCAAGATTTGGTTCTCCGGTGGACATAGTTACAGACCGCGGCAGACAGTTTGAATCTTCTTTGTTTCAACATCTTTCAAAAATATCAGGATTTCAGCATAAGAGAACTACGGCATATCATCCTGCATGTAATGGTGTTATAGAAAGATTCCACAGACAGCTGAAAACCGCTATTACCTGTCATACGACAGAGAACTGGATGGAAGTCTTACCTTTAGTTCTGCTCGGGATTCGAAGCGCCTATAAAGAGGACATACAAGCAAGCACTGCAGAGCTAGTCTATGGTGAACCGTTGCGATTACCGGGAGAATTCTTCGACCCAAGCACAGCTGGAACAACAGACGTTACAGAATACACTGCCCGCTTACGCTCGTTTGTTAATAACTTAAAGCCTTCCCCTGCATCAAGACATACGAAACCATCCATATTTATTTATAAAGATTTACCAACGGCTTCACATGTATTTTTAAGAGAAGATGCAGTTCGAACTTCCTTACAACCAGCATACACCGGTCCATATACTGTCCTGGAGAAATCTGAAAAAGTATACAAATTATTAGTTAAAGGCAAACCTGTTACTGTATCAATAGATCGCTTGAAACCTGCCTACATATTAGATGACCGCAGCCTCGCTCTACATGAACCTCTGGACGCCTTACCTCCACCTAAAGAAATTATAAAAACAAGAACAGGACGAGTAGTTAAATTTCCAGATTACTATCGCCCGTAGTAACGGTCTCGGAGGGGAGTGATGTGGCGTATATATATATTGTATATATAACAAACCTTTATAAATACCTTTTGAATTTCTGTAGAAAAATAAATTATAAATAACAGCGCATGCGAAGTTCCGCGCGCAGTATAAATTGGAAATTGTCATTCTTTTTAAAAATATATAGACGTTTGAACATTGAATTAAATATTTTACTTACTCATTTCCCATATATTATTTGAAATCTCAGTACACTGTTTCCAACCTCAGTCTTCTGGGGGGAAGGGATTGTTAGTAATGGGGAGGTAGGTCCCCATCGCTATCAATATACCTTATCAGGTCGACCTCCACGCGGTTCCTCCTGAAAACCATCGTAACTAATTTATCATTGAATTCGTCACGATGGGCTAATTGACCTTCCTTTTCATCCTCACCAATCATCTTTCACTGGTGCCCCGCTAAGGTATATCAATAGCGCAGGCGGGGTAACCATTCCATTATCATCCATCAAAAAAAAAAAACCTCAGTCTTCTGGATACTATTATTTTTTAAAAGGCAATAATAATCACATAGCTTGTTTTTTTTTTACTAACCCGTTTTAGATCAATATAGAAACAATATAGTTCAAACTACTTCTTTTGCCTAAAAAGCAAACAAAAGTTCGTGCCGAAATTAACATGGTTTTCGTCCTTCTTAAATAAAATCACTCGTATAACTAAGGGATACTATTAACATCATAGTCGAATCAACCTGATCGCTGAGATGGAATGCAAAATGTTTACATCCGTATAACCGTATCAAGTTCAGATACTGCTGCTGTTCAGATGCTTGCATACTTTCTACATAAACTGTGTCGAATATATAATCTAGTTATGTAAATGAACAAAAACAAATTCACACAATATAGAACACTAGTCTGCTATGAATTGAGAAAAATACCAACTGATGGTATATCTTCCGTCCTCTTTTTACTAACATATTTGCATAAGAAGAAAAAGATTTACAGTTTTTAGTTTATTCCTTCAATGTGATTTCTTTTTCTTAGCTCCTTCTATATAATTCCTTGTTCTTAGTCTAAAGACAAAATGATCTCTCAAAGCCACAGAGTATATAAATCATTACTTCACACACTGACGTGTGTAAAGTAATGATTAGTGTCGGCACTACCTTTATATTTATGAAACAGAAAATGAATCTATCCAATCATTTTGAGATATCAATCCAATAAAATTTATTACTATTCATAATGTTCTAGAGATATTTGTAATATAATTGTATATAAAATATCGATATCGATTGATATTATAAATGATCTAGTTACTATATAGCGTAAAATTTTCAAATTCAATTAATAAGTTGCATAGGATATATAAAAGTTTTTTGTTCGAAGTGACGTAACCCTGTTTAAAATAGTAAACTAATCTCAACTCTACTTACCTGGAAATTGGAATGAAACTATTTTTTTGTATACATAGTCTCTCTAAACTGTTTCTATATAAATAATAATTTTAAATGAATATCATGCATAAACAATTTTACACTGGCTTCTCCTAAGGTGTATTTATTGTTAGTTAAAGTCAAATTAACAAAGCTAACATGAATTTTATAAAACTTGTTAGTATTCGAAACTTTTCTTCGAGTCGAAACATTCCTCGAGTTTGTATAGTCGGCGCTGGACCTGCAGGTTTTTATGCGGCTATGCACATAACAAAAAATCTTCCAGCAGTCAATGTTGACATAATTGAGAAGCTACCTGTACCATTTGGCTTAATAAGGTAAGTTAATGATAAGCTATTTTTGGACTGATGTTTAACCGCCCCTAATATAATACTATGATATATTTTATTTCTGTGTATTCAGGTATGGAGTAGCACCAGATCACCCAGAAGTAAAAAATGTTATAAATCAATTTACTAAAGTTGCTCAGCAGCCCAATGTAAATTTTTATGGCAATGTTACTTTGGGGAAAGATATTAGAATCAGCCAACTTCGGCAACATTATGATGCTGTTTTACTGGTAATAATAAATTTCTGTATATTAAAACCTAAAATTAAGTATGATTATTCAGATACATTAATTATTGCAATTAATGTATCTGACTTTATTAAACAAAATAAAAGTTATCAACTGTAAGTTTTAAATTCAATCACAACAGTTCATTTAAATTTGAAAATGTTCATAGTATTTTTAATTTAAAAACTTATATTTATTTATTTTTACTTATTAAATATATCCTGTTTAGACAACAAATACTATTATTCATCATCATATCAGCCTAATGACATTAATAATCTATATTAAATGTGTAAGTTTAAGAATGCCTGTCTGATAATGACTTGTAATTACATCTTTATTATAACATTTACTGATGTTATATTTATATTTAACTGCACTACTTTGTTTTTGACTTGCAGACATATGGTGCAGAAGAAGATAAAACTCTGGGTATAGAAAATGAAGAGGCTGACAATATTGTAGCAGCTCGTAGATTTGTTGGATGGTACAATGGCCTGCCTAGTGATAAAGACTTGAAGGTTTGTGATAATAATAATAATAAATTTCCATTATATTACAGAAATATTATAAAAAGTTAAGACATTGATAAGCTAAAAAAGTAAGTCACCTTGTCGGAATATATTGATTTATGACATCATTTTATGATATGATAAATTAAACCACTGCCCTTTTTTACTTTTATAAGCTCTTATTTAATGATTAGTTTTTGTTTAATGAGTATTATTTATACTTATTAACGTTATTTAATTATGATATCATTGTTTTATTTTTGCCTAACAAATAGCTTTTAGATATATCTTAAAAATTTTAATATAATAATGATTTATTTATAATTATATGAAATACCTCAGTGTAAAACAGAAAACTCTAATATATATATATATATATATATATATATTCCAGATATTTCATGATTCCAGCACATTAATAGTAGGTTGATGTTAATCTTTTATAAAAGACAGAACTGTACTCCAGCAGTAGATTATTATTATATTGTGTGATAAGCAGATATTACTTTCAATATATGGTAGCTCATATAGTCTGATAAATTTATTTAATTTATTCAATAAAATTAAATTTTTAGAAAACAAGTAATTTAATTGAAATAATTAATTTAAAGTAAATTAATTTAGTTAGATTTTCTGAAAATTATCTCTTGATTTTCAGATAGATTTATCTGGTGACACTGCTGCTATTCTTGGACAAGGAAATGTTGCACTAGATGTAGCAAGAATATTATTAACACCAATAAATGAACTTAAAAGTACTGACATAACTGATCATGCTCTGAATGCTTTAGCTGAATCCAAAATAAAAGAAGTATATTTGATTGGAAGAAGAGGCCCATTACAAGTGGCTTTTACTATTAAAGAACTTCGGGAACAACTAAAATTAAGTAATTGCCAAACAGTTTGGAGAAATCAAGACTTTGAAGGAGTAGAAAATATGATTAATGATTTACCTAGACCTAGAAAAAGGTTAACAGAACTTATGTTGAAGTCTCTGAATGAATATAAAAGTATACCTATTCATAATGATAACAAATTGTTTAAACCAATATTTTTCAGAGCCCCTAAAAAAATTTTAGTTAATAGCCACAAAAAAATTACTGGGATTGATCTAATTTGCAATGAATTACAGGGGAATAAGTTGGAAGAACAGAAGTGTGTGGCAACAGCAAATACTGAAATCTTAAACTGTAGTTTAGCATTTAGAAGTATTGGGTATAAATGTGTCAAAGCAGATGATGAGATTGTTTTCAATTCTAATGGGTTGGTGGAAAATAGTAAAGGTATTGTAGACAATAATTCTAATACTCTGGCAAAACTTTATGTAGCTGGCTGGCTTGGCACTGGCCCTATTGGAGTGATATTACATACAATGGGAAATGCTTTTCAAGTAGCAAAAGTCATGTGTGATGACTTGAAAAATAAGGACTGTTTCACTGATAAAGGTGGTTTTGAAGAAATAAAAAAAAATTATATAAAAAATAGTAGTCCTATTGTAAATTGGGAAGGCTGGGAGAGAATTGATAAATATGAAATTGAACAAGGTAAATTGAGAAATAAACCAAGAGAAAAGGTATGTAGTATAGAAAAAATGATAGATATAGCTATAATTTAATTTTTTTTTTATTTTTATAATGACTTGGAATGTGCATAGATTGCTGTTAAATTTATATTGAATCAAATGAATTATTAAATACATATTTTTATACTTCACTTTGAAATATAGGTGATATTAATAAATTAAGCTATAAAGATAATTTCCAATTACAATTTTTTGTATAATTTGATTACATCATTAAATTATATATATAATATGTATCTGTAGGTACAATTTTTATAATTTTACTGAAAATAAATTATTTACACTTACAAATTTTTTACTTAATTTGAAAGTTTTAGTAGCTGCTCAGTAGTCTGGTAGGTAACAGGTTTTATGGTTTCAGATTTGAATGAATAAGATATGTAGTCTTTTTTTAAGTTAAAAGAATCAGATCCCCATCCATGTTATCGGTAGTATTATATTTTCTTTGCAACTGCTATATGTTGGGTAGCATTAGCAAAGATTTTGTTATTCCTTGTTTTCAGGGCACTGGTGAGCTATGATTGATAAGGATAAGAGCACGTTAGTACCTAAGTTCAATGTGATGAATTCCACAAGAAACAACCAAAATGGTTTTCTTAAGAGGGCATGCTGTTATTCTAGCAATGTGACCTGCTAGATTCTCATTACTAATAATCTACCCGAAGGCTATTTAAAAGACATTGCTCAGCAATAAGATAACCTTCTGTACTACACGAATTAAAAATTCTTCAACAATTCATGCAATATTGGTACAATAAAGTGCTAAATCAATCTCTTATCCCGCACACGATATAAGTTATAAACTTGTAAATTCTAATTCGGCTTGCAAAATACAAAGAAAGAGGGGAGTCTCCTCCCCGCCCTCTCTCTCCCTCTCCCTCCCCCGATTGAATTTTGTAGTGATGTGATACGTTAATATAATTACTATTACCAAACCAATCGTGCAATATCATAATTAAGGAAAATGTAGATAGTCTGTTTAAAGATTTACACTGTACGCGCCATTTTTTTTAAAATACGTGTAGTTATTAAGTGGTAACATTATTATAGGTTAATCAATGTGTATTTATGACTGCGACTGAAGGACTTACGTTCATGATCATGAATTAATTTAAAAAAAAATCAATTTGTCAATGTCAGTTGTCACTGATTTTCCTTTTAATATTGAAGACTAGGCAGCATGGTCTCCTACCTTAGCCTGTTCCACAATGGACCAACGTACTAAAAAAAAATTATGTCAGTAAGCCAGGATCATTTTTTGAAAAATAAATAAAAAGTAACCTAAATTTTTGTACAACTATTCTTATTTAAAACTATCTACATATAGCAAATTTAATTAAAGTTAGATGTGATTTGAAATACGTAAATCTAAGTTATAAGAGAAATATTTGTGTTTAAATTATTTTAAGTATTCGATATTTAATAACAATTGTATAATTTCATCGACATGCCAATGGCAAACGATCTTATTAAAATCGGTGACTACATAGTTATTCAAAAACAAAATTATAGAAAATTGCATAAATTAAATAAGCCTAATTCCACCATTATGTTAGGGCGCGATAGTATCAATCTTACTGGTATTGCATGCTGTCCGTATTACTCAATTTTTAAAATGATATCTTCTGGAAATAAAAAGAACAAAGAATATAATTTGGAATTAACAGATATAGCTGTTAATTTAAAGGACGAAATCGACGTAAAAATATCTGGTAATGATAATAGGAATATTGTGGATGATGGTCGGTCTCAAAAGTTAACTGCTTCCGAAATAGAAAATTTAAAAGTGGATGCCTATAGAGCATCTGATATTGTAGAGACATTAATAACGAATTCTAGTACATTCCATAATAAAACAGAGTATTCACAAGATAAGTATTTGAAAAAAAAAGAAAAAAAGTATTTTGAGTATATTCAAATTTTACGACCAAACTTAAGAATAATTGCTGAAATTATGTACAAGTTGGATGCAAATAAAATTCAAGGGATTCGTGTTGATACATTGTCACAAGTGATATCATTTGCTAATGTATATTCTGAAGGAGTTCATTTGCTTTATGATTCTGGGTCAAATGGCCTTATGGCTGCTGCATTACTAAGTGCCATAGGAAGTGGAACCTCTGGGAAACTTGTACATATGCATCCAGGGAACATGTCACAGAAGCAAGCTTTATTGGCAATGAATTTTGAAGGAGAACATTTAAATAGATGTATTTCTGTGAATGTTTATTCAGTATTGAGGCAATTTCACCAAGGATGCGACACTAATAATACATCATCAGAGGTCATAGAAAATAGTTTAAAAAGAAAAAATGATGAAGTAATAGACCATAAAGTGAAAATACCAAGATTGGAAAATGATGTAATAAGTGAGATTGTACCTAATGTAGATTGTGATAGTTCTGAGCAAACTCAGCCAGAACCTAAGAAGCCAAAATGGCATTTTGATAATATAGCAGCATCAGAATTAATTAGAGATAAAGTAGATTCATTAGTGATTACTTGCAAGGAGGACCCTCAAAATATATTCAAAGAACTGATGGAATTTGTAAAACCTGGACGACCTTTCGTAATTTATTACCCAGTAGCAGAACCATTGCAGCAGTTATATTTGACATTAAGATCATACAGTAATGTGGCTGCTCTTCGACTTATAAACAATTGGATGAGAAACTATCAGGTTAGCAGTAGAATATATTGCATTGTACATATATTGTAATCAAAGTGTTATATTTATTAAGCTGGGATAGTACTGCCTACTACACTGCAATACTAATCAGATCTGTATGCTCTAGATCAGTGTTTCCCAATCTTTTTATGCCATGCCTCACTTGAACATTTCTAAAATTTTTATGCTCCCATACATAATTTTTTCTGACATTGCATTTAAATGGTTTCGAGCAAGAGGGTTAAAAACGCTTCGAGTTCATTTTTAAATTGCCTCCCCTTTAACTATCAAATTGCCCTCCTGTGGGGCATAGGCCCCACGTTGGGAAACACCGCTCTAGATTGTGTTTCCACATGTTCAAATGTTTGGAGTTTCATAATAGGCAATTATAGCTCTAGGTGTTTAGATCCAAATTATTTTTTAAGATGTTTGGATGCAAATTATACTCAATCAAATATTTGGTGCTTTGTTTGGCACCTAAATATAGTCAGGTCAAACAAAAGGCTGTATTTGCAGGCTAAATCCAACAAAGTTAATTGTAGAAAAATACTGGATGATTGGTCATAACTTCAGATTTGTAATGTTTTAGTAAATGGCCAGAAAAACATTTAATATTAGCATATGGCATTCTGACTATCAAAAATGCTTGTATTTAAGTTTATTTGAATAAAAAATATTCTTGTTCATATTATGAATATTATACATAATCATTTGCAGCCTCTGAAAAAAGCTTCCATATATATCATTGAAATTACTAAAGATATTAGTGGTTCTTAGATTTAACATCAAATTTAGTTTGAAAAAATAATTGACAAGTATTGTTGCGTTCATACCCAGATTTACAATTAATCCTCCATGGGATAAGAAAAGACAATGGAGCATTGGTAGCCTCTAATTTTAAACAAAACCACCAGTGTTTTTATTTCAAAGAGGAGGAAAATATGAGTCTTATTAACTTTTACATGTATCTTCATCTACTGATAGATATAAGATAAAAGTAGCCTTAGTCCTTTGGAACTGTCCTTTTGGATGGACACAAATATTATGTGTATAACAAATTTCATTACAATCGGTTAAGTTGTCAAATTGCCATGAGGCAGTGGCGTAACAATAAGGTGGCAGAGTGGGCAAAATGTATGAGACCATGAGCACAGGAAGAACATTTATTGCATGAATTTGTAAAAAAATTTAATAATTTAAGAATTAGAGTATTAACTCAAGAAATATAAATTAACATGATTTCACTAAGGTAGTTCCAAGTAAAACAAAAATGCATTATAGTATGTATATTTACTTAGTGATGTAATATATAATAAAAATGAAACTACAACATGAAGCTTTTTCAGATAGAGGACCCCACCTAATTAATTTATCACAGGTCTCATATAGCATAGTCACACCACTGTTAAGCAGTGACAAACACACTTTCATTTTTATAATATTAGTAAGGATTATTATTTCCTTTCTTTTTCAGGTATTACCAGAGAGAACACATCCAGAAGTAATGATGAATGGATCTAGTGGATTTTTATTAACAGGTTATATACTGAAATAATAGTCCTGATTTAATAATATGCTGTACATTTTAATATGTACATACTATTGTATATTTATAGAATAAGAAATGAAATATTATAGCAGTTTTTTACAAATTTATTTTTCATTTACTCAAATGCACATACCATATTCTAAATGCATTATAAAATTTGATGATCAGTGTGATTGACATGCCATCTTATATAGTACTAATTATAAAGAAAATCTTTTCTTCTAAAGTAAAATGTTATGGATGTAATGTGAGGACTACACATACTAAGCACAATTTAATAGGTACATTTCTTTTATAATAGTATGTATAGTAGATATATTATTGCTTTATGATTTTTCGTTGTAATAACACATTCATAAATTCTATCATACCAATTTCCTTCTAAAATTTTGTATTTTCATAAAATTGTCAAAGATTTTATAAAAAACATTTATTCGAAATATGCATCTATAGTTGAAAACTGTCAATAAACACTACCTACGTAAATAGTCTTTCCAGATTTACATAATTTGTTTTTAACTAATGTAACTGTACAAAAATGTGTCCGCGGTTTAATGAGTAGGATTATACTGTACTTTTGGAATTTATGAGGAATGTAAATCAGTCTAATATATGGGTTGCATTTAATGTTGTTTTAGAAATTAACTTATTTCTCATCAATGCTCAAACACATAAAATATGCCTGTTGCGACTCTTGAAGCAAAATGGTCGAAAACTAGGATCGCAAATGTTGATATAAGACACTCATGTTTAACTGCCTTAACACAGATTCTATGGAAAATTTGCCCCCACTACTCTCATTGATCAACTTGTTTTTTTTTATTCAAAAGGACATTATGATGGTGGCAACATATGCTACTATCATATAATGGATACCAACACAAGTAGAGAATTAATTGCACTTGTTTTTGTTTTAACATTTGGAGTCGCCTCTGTATATAAGTAATGTTTTAGACAAGAATAAAATTTTACTTTGAATTTGTGTTTGAGCTTACATGGCGTAAACCTATAAGCATTATATATTAAATTCTAAGTAGCCATAATTAATTATTCGAGAGAGGAACATTATGAAAATAATCATATATATATATATATATAGAATGATATGAAAAAATTTTGGCACTTACATGGTGGTCAGTGCGCTTGTTCATTATCTAATATATCTAAACCATGGGAATACAATTATAAGGATTGAATTATTCAAGTATTTTAATTATATTTGAATAGATGTAGTGACTGCAAACAATTTGGTACAATACATTCACATAAGGTATTCTTTAATAATTGTTATTTTATCATCTCATCATTAATAAATTTATTTTCACTGTTTCTACAAGCACCATCTATCAAAACTGATAAGCACCTATAAGGTCACTACACCATTGCAATAACATCTAGATGTCACTACAAAGTTGATTTTAGCAATTGATTTTATTCAATGACAAAAGAAACATTGTTCATAAAAATTGTCATAAACATATAAATTAACTTGTTCATATAACTCTAGTGAACGGTGGACATGTATTTGTAGCATAAATGCAGTCATAATGGAAATGCGAGTGATATGATTACATGGAAGCAACAGCGATTGATACATGCCTATAAGCATTTCATATGATACAAAAACTATTTTACGCTTGCGCTCTACGCTTGTAAATATTAATTCATTCAAATAATTAAATAACATATATTACTCATATATTACAGAATATTATCATAAAATAAAAACATTTGTTTATAAATATTATAATTTCTTTAAACCTAAGTATTCATATCTAAAACTGAAAAGATAACAAAAGTCATAAAGAAGATATAAGGGAGATCTTTTGAAATTATGAGTGTAATGTGCGAATTCACAAATTATATTGTACTTATTGACTGACAGCTGAATGAGAAACAAAACATAAATAATACTAAAGCAGCTGAACAGTCATAATGTAGAAATGGATAATATTTCGAGCGATAAAAATACTGAATCAGCGACTAACCGTCAGCGTGTAATGAGTCGCTAAATATTGATTTTTTAATCACTTCCAATTTTATCAATTCAATTTTAATTAATTTATTGCCCGATTGAATTTTATACTATAGTAGAATATATTAAATTTTAGTGCTCTCCTAATCTAACGGAGGCTGGAGCAAATATACTAGTCCTATGTGGAAAATTATTCCATGTCTTAAACCTGTATATTGTATTGTTGATTGTATCAAAATACGAAAAGATTAACAAATACTGCATCAGAGTTTGCAACATAAAAGTTATTGAAGATATAAATTATACAAACACTGCACATGCAGTAAGGTTAAGTATTAATGTTAAATTTAAGCTTTGGTATTGGTGTTAATATGTTGAAAGGCATATACTGCTGCAGCCAGTACTATGCGTAAAAGCTGTAGCGCGGGCGGAGGCGTAGGCGGACGCCGGCCACGAGTCGTCACGAGCTAGTGGTCGCAGTCTCCTCGCCCAGCTATGATGAGTCTTCATCGTACCATGTACGAAAATCACAGCTCTCATCATAATCATCCTGAAATGTATTTGTACATTTTTATTACACTTTTAAAATCAATATTGGATGAGCTGAAATGCAATTCCCTAGTCGTAGTTCCATATTTCATACTTTTTGTAAACAGAGGCTACCATGTCATAGTATATTTTGTGATTTCCATGACGCTGCTCATGTGTATAGGTGATGGGTACTACGTTCGATCAGGGGAGCTAAGCTCGTTTGTCATTTTAAGTTTCATAAAAACAAGGCTTTTTGCAATCTTTATTTATTATAATACTAGTTTATACCCGCGATTTCGATTGCGTGATCGGGATATGTTACTTAGATATGTTGAACTGGGATAATAAGTAGCTTATATCAAATTACGAGTACAAAAATTGTACCAGTACGAAGTCAGGACGGGCATTTAATTTATAATATTATATTTTATACATTGATAAAATTATGTTTTGTAATGCATTTATGCTTACCGCCATCCAAGCGTGATCGAGGACGTCTTCGGCAGCAAAGCGCAATTCCGGTTGCGGCCGTAGCATGTTCGCCACAAGATCAATAGCACCAGCTGAGACCCGCTCCCAGTGTGGCGCAGGAAACTCTAGTCGCGCCGATAAAATTGCATCAAATAATTTTTCTTGGTCACCATCAGGAGATGAGAATGGAGGGAATCCACATAACAGTATGTAAAGGATGACACCAGCAGCCCACACATCAATCTGTAATCAAATAAGGACACTAAACAGAGAGGTAATATTTGACTAGTTGGGAATGTAATGAAGCTAGTACTGAAAGTTACAAATTCATGTCTGAATAAAAGTCAGACGCATTCTTATACAACAATGAAATACTTAATGATTAAAAGTTCAAGTGTAGGAAATGTAAATACTAGGCGCAGCCGTCCTTGCAACTTGAAACTGTGAGAACCGGTTATTATTGCGTCATTTCTAATTCAAATAGTCAAATTTTAAACGAATTTCGTGAGAAAGTTTCTCACGATATTACGGCCGATTTATTTTATAATTTTACTTATGTAATAGTACAAATTAGTAACTTGTTTTATTTTTTTTATTATTACGAGTAGAATTAGAAGTTTTTTTTTTTCAAAATTGTATAATTTTATGAAATTTTACAACACTGCTACGGCGAAAACTGTATATACTAATTTGTACTTAATTATTGATTAATTATACACTTAATAATTAAATTACAATCAAGTTAACAATATATTATTTGTATTACAATAGTACTACATATTTCATTATACCTTTAGTCCATATCCTGTTTCTAGTAGAATCTCAGGAGCTACGTAAGTAGGTGTGCCGCAGACAGCATGTAATGGCCGCCAAACTTCAACTGCTAGGCCGAAGTCAGCCAGTTTCAAACCGCGTATACTGCCATCGGAGCCTACTTCTACCTAAAATTGTTTATTATGAAATCAATTTCAAATAACAATAATTATATTATTTTCCATTGTTTTCTCAGTATATGCTTGTAATTGTTTATATTTATAATAATTATACTATTGTAACTTTTAGGACAATAAAGTGTATCTATCTATATATTTCCACTGCAGTATTAAATATAGAATTATATTTTATTAATTTTTTTATTATTATTTTAATATGATCATGCAGTAAGAATACATGTATTAGTAGAATATGTTATGTTTGTAATTTGTTTGTATACAAAAATTTTATGGAACAAAATGGAGCTTCATTTATTTATATATATTGGGAATTCTTTGAAAATGATATCGTCCAAGTTGCGTTCACGGCATTCATTTAATCGAGCTCTAAAATTTTCTATGACGGCTCGGCATGTCCGTGATGGCTGCCATTTCGTGACGGATATTTCCTTCTAATTGTGCCAAGGAAGTAGGTTTGTTGGCATAAACTTTAGATTTGACGTAACCCCACAGGAAAAAGTCCATAAGGGTTAAATCGGGACTTCGTGGAGGCCAATTTATGTCACCTCTCCTGGATATCAATTTGCCAGGAAAAATTTCACGAATTCGTGGTAAAGATCTGTTGGACGTGTGTGAAGTTGCTTCGTCCTGCTGGAACCATGTTCTTTGGTTATAACCAGGAAAGTTTTGCAGTTCCGGCACGAAGAAGTTGTCTAACATCTCCACATAACGGTCCGAGTTCACTGTAACTGTGCGCACCCTTTCATCTTCAAAAAAGAAAGGGACGATAATCCCGCGCGCCGACATTGCAGCCTATAAGGTTACTTTAGGCGAATGTAGGGGTTTCTGATGTTTGTGTTTTGGATTAGTTGCACTCCAGTATCAACAATTTTGTTTGTTTACATGTCCATTGAGATGGAAATTAGCTTCATCCGAAAAGAATATGTTGGTAAACGTTGAAAAGCGCTCAATCATCTAATTTACGAAGTCAAGCCTCTGCCCAGCATCCTAAGGCTTTAATTCTTGCACTAATTGAATTTTGTAGGGGTGCAGCTTTAAATTTTTGAGTAAAATGCGGAACAACGACGATCTATGCACGTTTAAAGCATAAGCACGCTTTCAAATCGAAAGGTCTGGGTTATCACGAACAGATTGAGAAATACTGTCTATGTTTTCGACCGTTCTCAAAGACCTTGGACGTGGATTTTGATTTTTCCAGCGTTGAACCGGTCTCTTAAAACTTTTTCACCCATTTATCAATGAGTTTAGGGCTTGGCGCGTCATTTAAATGTAGAATATTGCAATATTTTCTACGCGCTAGTCGCTGAATTACTGTTTTTGTAAAACTCGCGTACGCACAACGCACGATCCGCTCCCGAGAAACGCTCCATAGCGACTAAATTCCCAGAAGCTAGGCTACCGAACGACATACCCCCGCGCCCCTCAGAATAGTTGCATTCGCTTAATAACAAAAACAAATGTCACCTTTCTTTTGAAACACCCAGTACTGTACTGGCCCTCTAGACAAGTCACAAGCGAATTCGTCGTCGACATCGCTAGCGAGTCCGTGAGTTGGAATGAGTCATCCGGCGTTGCTATCTCATTCTATCTCACGGACTAGCTAGCGATGTCGATTCCATCGGCGAATTCGTTTGCCATTTGTCTAGAGGTCCTGGTAAAGCGTAGAATAGATTGCAAACAGGTCCACGCAGAAGTAATGGGCAAAAGTTAGTAATATAATTATGGATGATTATCTTTCAATTACTCTTAGAGAAGTTAACTAGTAATTAATTAATCGTGATACAACCAAAAGAGTCCTTAGTAAATAAGCTACAATATATTGTACCTATTTAAGATGTACTACGTTCCGACATACAAAATGTAAATAGGCAAGATTAAGCTTATCGGATTTGAAAACAATGATGCAATTACTATAAAATCGTATTATGAGTAGAACATGATAAAGATGATGTATCAATTGCGTTAGTCATTCGCTTACCAATAGATTCTCGGGTTTGATGTCACGATGCACTATTGAAAGCGAGTGTAGGTATGCAATAGCTGATGTTAAATGGCCGATTAGCAAACGGGCTTGTGGTTCAGAAAATTTGGAAGCAGCCGCGATACTATCAAATAAATCGCCACCTAGAAATATAAATTATTTTAGTGTATTGCAAATATAAGCCTAATGCGGGATAACGTAAATATAGTGTTATTAAATTATTAATCAATTAGTTGGATGACACGACTGATGTAAACAATGTATGATGATGTAACTTATGTATTATCAGTTATTTAATCAGTAAGATTTATGCAACAGCTAATTAAAGATAATGTAAATCAAAATATTATAATAATAAAAAAGACAAAAGTAAACAAGATCTTTCTTAAGTTGAATTTATATAACGGTATGGCAATTGTCAGAATTTCGTAGGGGTTTAACCTGTTATAATGATATTAAGATATTAAGCACATAATAGTGAAAATGATTTCGAAATTTTCATAAACAGACTAAAGTGAGAATGTTAGAGAAATAAAATAGCAAAAATATAAAGGGATGCAAAATATATTGTTGTATACATACCACTAACTAGTTCCATAATTAGGAATAGCCATTCGGGACTGTCTTGTTCTTCAATTAATGATACGATACGAGGGTGGCACAATTTCCGCATTACTCGTACCTACGAATATAGTACCTTTTTAATACTAAGACAAAATTTTAATAAAATGAGAAAATATATTGAAATATAACGACTCCGTAGTAATTTTATATAGTGATATTCAATACTTGATTGCGGTTTTCATGTTGTATGTATATGTAGCGATATTATTCGCCAGTTATGGAAAAACCAATTTTGATCGTTCTTTTTGTAATAGAAAGGATTTATGTGTTGCTTCTATAGTAATTTAGCTAAGAAAGTGTAATTTTATTTCAGAATTTTTTTAAAATATTTAGTTCCGATAGTATGTGCACCTGACATCAAGAAACTCTTACTATTAATATTATAAATACGAGTATGAAAATTTGTAAATTTTTTAGAAAGTTTGAAATTTAGACATTTTTTACCTTTACTTCGTACGATCACTTAGCATAATAGATCGTATAGCAAGCCCTTAATTAACATATATATATATATATATATATATATATATATATATATATATATATATATATATATATATATATATATATATATATATATATATATAATACTCTGTATTCTCATCTATGAGGGAAAAGGTCACGGGACATAGCTAGAAAGTCATCAGGCATAGCATAAAGCAATGGACAACTCTTATTTTTAATTATATTAAAATATAAACAAGTACCCAATATTTACCTCTGCTTCCACATAATGTTCTTTGCCCTTACACTTGGCTTTGTCTATAATTTTGAGAGCGTATTCTTTGTTTGTTGTTTTGTCTTTACAAATTCGCACAACTGCGAAATTGCCGTCACCTGTTAAAAAGATGATAAGTTTGGATTAAAATGAATTTCATTCAAACTGATGTACAATAGAGTTCTTATCAGACTAGAGTAATCAATGAGGCTGACAAATACAGTATCCATTAAAAAAAAAATACAAAATGTGACATAGTCACATTTTATTTATTTTAAACTCTCGTTATGCAGCTTACAGTGAAGAAATCTAATGATACTCTATTAATTAAAATCCATTAGTCTTATTGGTTCTAAGTTATGGTAAAAGTAAAAAAATTGTAAAATTAGAAAATCGTTACCCCTATTTTTCTAGATTCGAATAAATAATTGATTTCTTCATATTTATGTAATCGGTATATGAAATTGAATTTAATAGAAGTTTATGTCTGTCAATAACAAGTAGCGAACATTAAGAGAGATTTTAAATTAAAAAAAAAAAATAACATTCATATATTAAAAAAACAAAAATTAAATTGTCCAATGTGCAAAACACATATATATCAAATTATTTATATATTTAGGCGCATAAAATAGTTATTTATGTGCATCACAGTGCTAGCAAAACAGGTTACTACTCAGCATTATGTCGCAACACAGCTATGCTGCAGTGGTAGTTTTTATAATATCACATAATGAACTGTAATTGCACTATAATCTAGAATATCATTAATTAGTTAATTTATTAATGTACACACATAATGTTTTCTTTTTAATTGGCATATTTAGTACAATTTTAGCATATCTCCATAAATTTAATAAATTAAATAATATTAAAATATATATATATATATATATATATATATAATACAATATCAAATTGATCAATATATATGTTTTTAAATTAACTCATTTTATTATCTAATGTTTACTTTGTGTTCATTATGGTAAAACAAATGATACCTATGATTTTTCCGACGTTATACTTGAGTCTCAGCGGCTGCGGCAGTAGCGGCGCGGCAACATCATCCGCGGCATCGCCGGCGGCGCCGCCGCCCGCTTCGCTGGCTGCTCGAGCGGCCCCACCGCCTGCCTTTACAGGCATACGGGGCTTTGGTCCCGTCCTATGAGTTTTAAATTATAATAAGAATGACGGCTTTTTATGGTGGGAAAATAGACAATAAACAAAAATTATATAGCATTCAAGTTTTTATTATTTTTCTGCAACCTAGAATGGCAAATAAGCCCCATCTGATGGAAAGTGGTAACCGTTGCCTATAGACATGAGCAGTACTATGGACATAACATAGTATACTGTTTCGCCTATGATACCATGTGTTGCCATTCCTGAGGACTCAGGTGTTATTCCTCTGTACCCTGAGAATAAAATCGCATGTAATCTGTGACCTACTACTACCCTCCATTTATAAACCCAACTGATTTTTGTGCTGTTTGATTCAATTGGGTTCAATCAAATTTGTCTTAAATACTACTGTAGTAGTAGTTCTATACAACACATTAAACATCAAATATAATTTGAGTAAATCGAATAGAAAACGTGTATCTATTGACCAAATGTAAAGGAATTCGTAAGGGGGGAAAGGCATTGTTAGCAATGGAGTTTGATATCCCCATTGCTAGCAATATACTCTTTTAGGTCGACCTCCACGTGGTTCCCCCTGGAAACCACCATGAACAATTCTTGTTGAATTCATCACGATGGGCTAACTGACATGCTTCATCCTCACCTCTCATGTCTCACTGGTGCAAACGTACCTTGAATTCCTAGTGATGGGTGTTTTTCTACATTGTAAAACAGCTCTACTCTCTTCAAATTCTAATTCAAAATCTTCTTGATTAACCCTGTATAAAAAAAAGTGAAAAAGTATAAACAATACAATATTGTGGAAGACTACATTTTTACTTTATCACTGATTTGAAACAATACATTATCACATTAATAGTGATATATATATATATATATATATATATATATATATATATATATATATATATATATAATATATATGGGGGGAAAAACACACTGATTAATACGACGGTATCTCCACTAGGTAGAACTATAGAGCGTACATTCTTAAAATTTGGCTGAAAAATTGTTTATTTTACATATGGATAAAAATGGATCAGGAAAGGATATATCACGTGAAATATAAGATATATAAGAACGTGAAAATGATTTGCACGTCACAGACGGAACGTTTCCCGTTAGGATATTTCATATAACTATAAATTGCGTAATAGTTATAGAAACATATAGATAACGTATCTCAGAAAAATATACAAATAGATAAAACAAAGTCATCTGAATTATGCAAATTAATGTGTTTTCAAGAAGCAGCTATATTGCTGAAAAGGCAGTAATTTTAAAAATTAAAATTAAAATATGTATATTCCATACCATACTGTTTGGTCAACTTGATAATAGTAGGCTATAGTTGTATTTTACTTTTGTGGCGGAGGATTCATGCCCAGTAGTGCATTGGTCGCTTTATCATATATTATTTCTTACCCATAATTTAGACCAACTGAGAGAAATAACAAGCAGCCTATGACCTTTTTCATTCCAAATACTATGTATGTGCGTTTCGAATATCATGACAAGAGCAGTTAAGGCGTTAAGAGTTAACAAACAAACCCATAATCAAATTTATAATATTAGAGAGAAATTACCTTTCATTTCCATAAGCAAAAAACACATCTTCATCGTCAAAGAATTGGTGTAGAGCGGTGACAGCGGTGCCCGACTGCGTGAACACTTTCCGAACGCAGCCAGTGTCCAATTTGATACATTCCGTGATCGCTGCGAGTGCGTGCTCCAATGTCGGACTGTTGCGTTTGTTGAGCAACAGTCGGCACACCTGCACGGAAATTACAATACGTTATTACTTTTTCAGCACATACTGAGCGAAAGCTAAAAAGAAGCAACCTTACTTATATAATACTTCTATAGTTCAGTACAAGTTTAGATTCTAATATCTAGTTTGTGCAAAACCGTAACCAGGATAATACAAAATTAAAAATCCAATCGCAACCATACGTAGTCATAAAGATTCAGATCGGTCTATTGGCAAGTCTAATAAATATGTTCAATGTAAATCAAATTCTTGTATAATTTGTTAACGGTCTATTCGACCATGATCTTTAATTTAACATTATAGTATGTAATTGTTGCCAAATTTAAATTTGGCAGTGAACTACTGTTGAGGGTTTAACACTTCAGTGCTTAGGAATGGGAATAAAAAATTAAACCCTTTTACTGTAGCTCCGCAATTCGAGAACACATCCATTGTCATCTTAAAAACTATTGGGATCCTCAGTGTCGACATCTCCATTACTATAGTGTTCTGAGGTCAACTAGAAGATAGGGTCAAAAGCTAGCGTCCAAAAAGCTCGGGGTGCCCAATAGAGCGAAACGGTACTTCACTCCGAGACAAAGATTTGTACAAATCGTAAGTCTGGTCCTTCATAGAGTACTGCTCTCATCTGTGGGCCGGAGCACCTGGATACCAGTGTGGTTCTCTTGACTTGGTTCAAAGACGGGCTATGAAAATTATTGACGATCCCAAGTTCATAGGCGGTATTGAGCTCTTAAGTTTAAAGCGAGACTTTGCCTTTCTTTGTGTTCTACCACTTGTTTAACGGATTGTGTTCTAAAGAATTGTTTGGAATATTGCCTATAGCTATCGATAGGGAATTCATCCTAACACGCTTGGGTCTAAATGGTCACGTATAGTACGGTTTCAGAGAAATTTTCTCCCACGAACGCTCAGGCTGTGGAATAGGCTCTCTGCTGAGGTTTTCCCTAGAGACTACAATATATAGTATACAATACAAAATATACTATATCAAGGTTTTTTTCAGGGTCGGCAAAGCGCACGTGACACCCCTGGTTTTGCAGGTGTTTATAGGCTACAATGACTGTTTACTATCAGATGGGTTGTATACTTGTTTGCCGTTGTACGTTGATATAAAAAAAAATGAGAACAGATGATAGGTGCTATGGCATCACATTGTATTCTACAAGGTCTATAGTGCTGTTCTTGTCTATAGGCGACAATTATCACTTTCTATGAGGTACCGTATTATTAGTAAGGACTTGTAAAGGTCGAAAACCTCCATAAGTACGATTTTTTTTTATAATATACTACGTGCCCCAGCAACTTCGTTCTCGTAACTGTGACATCTTGTTTGACCGAGATAAAGATTGATCTGTGTCCTTTTTCCATGCTAAATGCTATATATATATATGAGGTTGGTGAACTGTGGTGGTAACATACACACTTTTAAATAGATAATATATTAACAAGGACAGTATATAGACAGGTATTATATTAGTCATAAATATTACTAGGATTCACGATTTCATATGTGAGAATTAACAACAATTAAAATTAATAATGGGTAGTATTTAAACATTACCTTGCGAGGTTTCACTCCATTCCTAATTATAGTAACTATCCGTGGTCGAACCACATTGTCGCCGGCTGGGCTAACGCGCGCTGTCCCGTTGCCGGTAGTGCTACTACCATTAGCCTGCAAATAACATTAAGTGTAGCGTCATGTCGTGATACTGTCACGTTATCGTGGCATATAACTGAGTCGGTACTGTTATGTTTAACTGTATATCGTATATATGCTCACGACTGTTATCAATAATGGGCATTTAAGATAATTTTCCAGGAGGGGGAGGTGCTGGTTTCTTTGCATACGTCTTGTTGCACAGTTGAAGGCTTCGCTCAGATCTCGGGGTGGGTCTTCGATATTTATGGAGTAGGCGCCGCAATCCCCCCCGCCCTCACTCTAAAATACACCTATGGTAATAGTCAATACCATAAGTGTCGACTTATTTAATTTTGTGGTGTAGATTGCAACATGATGGGAAACGAGCCTATCGCCGTCTGTCGGATTGGTTTGTTAAAGGTATATTCTATCACTAGTGAATTAGTCAGAAATTACACAGACACAAAATTTTTGGTGTTCGCAAATTCGAACTCATAAATCAATGTAGTATTATGTCACAATGCTGTGTACGAGAATAAACCTAAAATCATAGTTAGTAATGGGGTCTAACTAAAAAAAATGCTGATTGAGTATGTTGCTAGACAATACAAGTAGAAAAATAAAACAAATGAAATGAATAAATACACTTTTGAAAATAAATAAATATTCTTTTTCTATGAATCTAATATTAATACATTTGAACTATAGAACTTGTCCATAAAGAGTGAGGTGTGGCTACAATAGTTACCACGCGTTTTTTTTAATGTTGTTTTAATTATAGCTGTATTATTATGTGTTTCGTGATTCTACTGTGAAGTAGTTGTGTTTGTATGGCTGTATTTTAGTTTGAAGGGTGGGATATGGCAGTGAATTTACAGGATACAGAGGTATTGCGGGCAAAACAGTTTACTCTGTTATGTCCATGGTACTGCTTATGTCTATAAGTGACGGTTACCACTTTCCATCAGGTGGGTCGTCAGTTTGTTTGCTATTCTAAGTTGCATAAAAAAATATGTATGAGTATTAATTATATCTATACTTATATAGATGAGACTATTGTGTTTATATTAGAGTAAATAATGTACCTGCAAATATCGGGACAACCGGTTGTTTGCTCTGGCAGGAGACGGACTTGCACTGTCACTTAATGATTCTGGGCCACTCAGTCTAAAAGACTGAGGTGTCACAGCACTAGCTTCGTAGTCTAGACGTTTAAAAGGCTCGCCAAAACCACTACACACATATGATTGACCATCTTCTAAATCATCTAATTTGCCTATCTGTAAAATTTATTGCTTTTTGAAATATTTATCAACCATTAAAGATTTTATAATTCTAAAAATAGTTTTAAAAGTAGAATTTATAATTTAAAATTCTATTTTTAAGATTATTTTCTTTCCTAGATACAAAAATCTAAAAGACTTTTTTAAACAGTCATGTACATTTTTATAGAAATATATATATGTTGTGTCTGCAAATGAACCTGATCATTTTGACTGACCAGTATAAAAAAATATATTCATTATTCTTCATGTCAAATATTATATAAGGAAATGAATGTTTTAAGCTTTTATGGATCCTAGCTCCATTCAATGTATATTATATAGAAAAAGCAATTTTTTTTTCAATTTGTCTGTTTTAATTTACGTGTACACATATACTGGATGCAGTATTTTCGCTAATTCTAAACAATAAAATTTTTTCATCAATTGAGTTTAAGCAGCGTTTAACATGTGCGCCATAATAATTTTGTAATTTAAGGCATCATTTTTCTTCTATGTCTAAATATATTTGTTGCAATGTAAAACTAAGGTATCTCTCATTATGATTAGTTGAGGTAACAAATGAACACACTCACATTCATAATATTATTAAAAAAAAGCATGAGTAAAAAGAACATGTATTATTATTTACAAATTACTAATATATTTATTATTGCTAAAACAAGTACCTACTGAGGCTGCTTTTTTTTTATTAAATATGATAAATAATACTTACTTTTCTACCCTCAAGGGAGTATATTGTCCTGACACCACTGGGAAGAGTGACATTATCAACAAGCACCCTAGTCAAGTCGGCAGTTAAACTATCAAAAGACCTATGAGATTAAAAAAAATATTATTTATAATTAAAAATGATAATAAACAACATGCATGCATTATAAAAATAAAATATAATCTTAATAGGCAATATGATAACTATTTTTAAACATTTAGCACTAGGCTATGCCTGCATAAATTAGTTTATAGAATATCCTACTTGTTAAATTATAGGATATAACCTGCATCTGAGAATTTTATTTAAATATGTTTAAGCTTGCATAAGCAACAAAACATATAAACATCCTTAATTTTTCACTTTTTGCATTAATAGGATTGCATTTAGGGCTGCTATTGCAAAAAAATAATCTTAACCTTTAACCTTCAATAATAAAATTTTGTATCATAATTAATCAATTTAAATTTAATATCAAAACAACCTGTAAGACGCAAGTGTAAAGGCATCAATAGTGTCAGCTACATGTAAATATTATATGTATCAAAGTCAATGATATAATGATCAATGTGTATTAACAGAAGGATAGTATCCCTATTATTTACTTTAATATGATTGAATAAATATGAAATAATCACTCTTTTATTTGTATTGTTTGTAACTTGTTATACTTGTTAACATGCATAAAAAGTTGTAGAGAAAAAAGATCCAACGAACATTCTTGTTTTAATAATGAAGTGATATTTAAGCAAATGGAACATTCTTTTTATATTTCAAATCCATAATTTTATTAATATCATTATGTCACTGACATTAATAATGTTATCACCATTAGTGTCAACATCAAATTTCAGATTACATCCCAACATACAACAAATTCATGTTTGACACCTTTAATAACAAATATCACTTGCTTCATACTTTATAAGGCATGTAAAACTGTTGTCTAGTTATAGCAGGGCTATGATGTGGCTTTTGTGTCATAGTATAGAATTTCAAATAAAATAAAGGTGGATTAGAAACACCAGAAAATGACACCCTCATATTATTAGTCAATGGAATTATTTTCTTCAAAGATTTGTAAAATCACAAAAATGTAGAAAAACACTTGGAATAATATTAATTAATATAATACATACATCATTGACTAATATGATCTACATGATTTGAAGGGCTGACAGGCATGTAATGTTTACATTGTTTCTATTTTATATATATTTGTAAAATAAACAGAAAACCTTAAAGGTAGCATGGTTAAAAAGATATAATGGAGTGCCAAGAAATAGGCCATCAAGAACAAAAGTTTATTATTTTATAAAGTTTGATTGAATTAGTAAATAGACAATCTATTAAGAGTCTGAAAATTTAATTCAGGAATAATCAAGACTAATACATAAATGAAATGTTATTATCGACAGACATATGCTAGAATGATTATTTTATTGTGTCATGCTCCATCACAGATGTGTAGGTAGATAGTTGGGTGAAAGTGCTTGAATAAAATATATTAGAATTATTTAAATAGCTATAAATTATTGTAACTCACCTGTATCTTTCTGGCAAGACTGGGATTATAACACCTGAATAAAATTTATCCCCATTTCGAAAAAACCTAACTCGTTTCGCTTTCCGCGCTGGTTGTGATCGAAGCATTACGTTACGTCGGTTCGTCCTACTTTTCATAATTTCCATATCGCTAAAATCTTTTTCAAGCTCACAAACGGAGCTCGATCGACTACCACTACGGCTCAGATTATTCTCCATCCTGCTGAAAATAAAGAAAGTTAGAAAAAAGTTACGATGTCACCTAACGGATATCTTTTGCTAACACGATTCGACCCTCACCTTATTTTGTTTCGGTTTAAAATTACACAATTATTTTATACACGAATTCAAGTCATTACTTTCAATTATATCTCATTTTGTACAACTTCGTTATCTATACAATTTGCGAAATAATTAAACTAAGATTTCCGAAAATATGAATCACAGAAATCAGCGCAAAACGAACACTAGAACGATTAATGAATGAATGAATGAAATAAGAGTATAGACGATTTCTGAATTATAGAGACAAATGATTACTTGAACTTGAAATAATGAATGAATAAGAATGAATCAGGCCAGCAATTTAATTACTGAATAGCTATTGGTCCTAAATGTGACTCCATTACTTTAATTTTCTTATTAGCCAATAACCTGTGCAAAAATGAAATTAAGGAAATAATTAAACGAATCACAGATAATAAACATGTTTTCTATGTTCCATATCACCAAGGAATTAGCTTTCAATTTTATTTTTACAAATATATTTAAATTCAAAATATAATAAATAACAAGATTATATTTGTATTAATTTTTTATTGCTTATATCAATAATAAAAATAAATTTTATATGGCTCTTGTATTCAAGAACAAGGACTTATCTTTGTCGTACATATAATTTTTTTTAATTTTTTAATCTGGTAAGACAACAAACAGGTGACGCATTTATCAATTTCGTTTATGTCAAAAGTACAGACAAAGAGTGTGTTATTTTATATTTAAAACTAATTTTATTAAATTTCTGTGCAAAATGTCGTCAAAGAAAAAGGTTTTATTGAAGGTAATCATACTCGGTGATAGTGGCGTGGGTAAAACATCACTCATGAATCAATTTGTCAACAAGAAATTTTCCAACCAGTACAAGGCAACAATAGGCGCAGATTTTCTCACAAAAGAAGTGATCGTCGACGATAGAATCGTTACGATGCAAATTTGGGATACTGCTGGCCAGGAGCGGTTCCAGTCGTTGGGAGTGGCGTTTTATCGCGGGGCGGATTGTTGCGTCTTAGTGTTTGACGTAACTGCCCCTAACACGTTCAAGTCCTTGGAGAGTTGGAAAGACGAGTTTCTGATACAGGCATCACCAAGAGACCCAGAGAACTTCCCTTTTGTTATATTAGGCAATAAGGTCGATTTAGAAAATCGTGCCGTATCTGCCAAACGTGCCCAGCAGTGGTGCCAGAGTAAGAATGACATCCCTTATTTTGAAACAAGTGCCAAAGAAGCTGTGAATGTAGAACTAGCATTCCAAACCATAGCCCGTAATGTCCTCGCCCAGGAAACAGATGCAGAGCTTTACAATGAATTCCCAGATCAACTCAAGTTAACAGCCAACGATAATGGACGTAACAGGGATGGAGATAATTGTGCTTGCTAGGCCTCAGTAAATAATAAACTCCAGCACTGGCAATATATTAGTTTCTCATTTATTAATTTTAAAATTATAGTTACAATTATTATAAACTATAAAAGTATTGTGTAAGTAATGGTTTCTTTTGTATTGATATCATGTAAAAATGTATAGAATTGATAGAAACACGTTTGGGATCTTTGTTTTTTTGCACAACAACTAATAACTTGTAAATGCCTGCACTTTGTGAAAAGTACAAGAGTTTTAAAATAAAAAAAAAAATACCATTAATTTTATATATTGGGTAAAATTAAAATCATTAGCGTCCTTTTATGTGAATTCTCTATTGATGAAACTGAACATTCTTTCTAAAGAAACATGTTGAAAAATCACAAAAACTAAGTCTCCTATACTAAAGTGGTGCATCCATTGTAAAATTATTATGGTAATTATTTAAGTAGTAATTTGAAACTAATGGTTTCACTTGATATTTATACATTTCTTAGTTATTTTATATTTATTCATCTTATATAAATAAACTTTATTTCATTCACTTTACTATTAATGAAAAAAAGCATGAGTTTTGTTACTTTTGTATACTAAAGAAAGTTAACAGTGTTCATACCTAAGTCTGTACTATTTGTAAATTTTCAAAAATATTAAATATTTTGACTACTTTTAAAGTGCTCTTATGGTGAACTGAAACATTATTGTCCTATATTACAAGTTGCATGACTACAATGATTTTTCAACTGCTTTATATTTTGTTTACCATCAAAAGCTAAAATTTCAGTGATAGTTTTATAATAGTCATCCAAGATTAATGTTTTAGTTTGCTATAAGAGCACTTTTCTAATAAATATTCTAAAATATCAATTTTGAATATTGGAAAATATAATGCAGATATTGGCAGATATTGGTATGAATTCCAAAAATTGAGTGTAAAAATCTATGTTTTTTTTTTCAAATAACTATTCCTGTATTTCATATGAAAGGGGTTAATAATTGTATTCTTTATAAAATTAAATTACTTTTAATTTGGGTTGCATGATCGGCATTTTAACAATAATTGTAATGGTTATTTTGGTATACTTTGTATAGAGATTAATATATTATTATTACAATGCTATATATATTACATTATATTGAATTACCTACCATTATTTGAACAAATATTGTTAAAGTCTATGATAATTATCTTTATAAAAATTATATATTACCACCTAATTTTGGTTTCTATTAAATATGTATAAGACAAAGGTTTTTCATGGCTCAGTTCCATCAAATATGATGTAATATGGTTATTTGATGTCATATATCTCACAGTCTGTCCATTAAGTATTTAATTTTTCATTAGTCATACGTATGATTAGTAAAACTGACAGTGTTATCTATTATATACTCAGCCCCTTTAAAATTATATATTAAATGATTGGATTGTCAGCTCTGTATGCAGACTTGTAGAGTGCTATAAGAAATTCAGATTGCAGGCTTTATCACAAATTGTATTTTAGTTCAACATCACATACACAAAAGTTTTTCTTATTATTATTTTTCTTACATCAATATTTTATTCTGATCATAAATAAATATGTAATATAATCGAAGGTAATTATATTTTTTTCACTATGTGATTTTTGTGATTGATTTATGTGAAGAGCTTTATTCTCTTAATTTTGTAGTAACAAAATTATGGGAACAGGTAATTTTTATATGTAATGCAACATCTGAATATAATTATCATTAAAGTTTTTGTATATATTTGAATTTTAAAATGTTAGTTGTAAGTAGTTAATGATAACAGTATGTTATATTGATAACTAGCATTTTATTTATAACACTAATAGTGTTGTAAGAATAAAAATGCAACTACATATTTATGGTACCTATATGTTATAGTATGTCACGAACACACAGGAGGTCAAACAAATTACGACAGCTTTAGTGATGCCTAATGCAAAATCAGCTTTTTAAGTGTTTAGATATTTAAAATTAAAATGCGTAATACTGAAATTATGTTATTCTCGTTTCCGTTATATGTCATTCAATTTTATATTTGATTACATATAAATATTTTTATATACAATTTCAGTTTAGAAAGTTTACATTATTGAATTGACCGACCTTGCCTTTTAGTTTAATTAATTTAACAACATTTGTATTTTGTCATATAATATATACACTATATTACATGCCTTTCATTAAATTGAAAATTTTATTGTATTACTTATTAAAAGTTCCGAGACCTAGTAATAATAATAGGTAATAAAATATGATGTACGCTGTAATAATGGTCGCTTTTAATTTTGTATCAATAATAAATAAAAATAATCAAAATGTTGTTTTAAATTTAGAGTTAATATGTTACTCGAAGGATCAAAATTTTTTTAACACGGATCTACCATGAAATGAAATTCCGAAATTTCGGACTCAATTTAGTGTTTTTGTTTATACTAAAATCGGATCAATAAATGGAGTTTAACATTTCGTTCATCATACATCCTATCATAAAAGTCCAAAGAAACAATAGCATTTTTAATATTTCCAAATCGCATGTATTATGTAATTTTAACATCAAATTTCTGTTTCATTTGGCTCCGAAATTTCAGAAAACTTCATGGTAGGCCCTCTGGTTTATACTAGACGATTCAATTCACGGAGCTATAAGGTACGCACACGAGGGGTGAAATGAGATTGTACCTTGTTTGCGCGGTTATTTGATTTATCTAAATGTAACTGATATTTAAATAGACTCTCGATCGTTATTGTCCTCAAATAAATAAGCACATATATTAAGGGTTATAAAGTTTGAAATAGATAAGGATTCCAAATAAATTTATCATTATAACGGTTAAATGCCTCAAAATGAGATGATGTACTTAACAGTAACCATGGGAACTGTCACTTTATGTCTGTGTGCCCCACGTCACAAAATATTTCACTGGAGTCATTCATTAGTATTGTTTGTGTGTACATATAAGTAGAAGAAGTACACATGAATATTGCAGCTCGGCTTGCGCATGCGGGGGGGAGTATGTAAGGGGGGCGATGGTCAGCGTTTCAGCTACTGTTGGTCGCACAATTCAGTCTCGCTTGTGACATGAAAGGGCGCGATTCTTCACACGCATCACGGTGCTTCGAGCAATGCATCACCATGAACAGCCGCCAGGGAATGCATGTAATGGTGAGTACTACATTTTTTCGAAACGTTTTCCTATATGATGTTTATCTGGATATCACTATCGTCATTGATGAAAACTTCTAAGTTTAAGGTAGGTACCGCGTAAATATCTTACTGTTTAGGGCGTTTTCCTATATACTAGAAATAAATTCTTCAATATTTTATGTAGAATAAAAGGTGGTGATCAGAAATCGTAAAAGTAAAAGGTATAAGCCATAAAGTGATTAAGATTATAGACGTGTGTCTGTTAGAGGTAATATTTACATAGGCAAATATTAATTCTGTAATAATTACAACAAGTTTACAAGTATTCTAATTTCGTAGAAGAACAGGCATCTTAAAAATATAATTACTAAATAGGTAACAAGAATAACAAACGTACGTTTACCAATACTAAATATAGCTGATAAATGATTATGAGTAATCACAGGTTTCCAAATTACTTATAATAATTTTTAAATATTAGTATAATATGTAAGGAGGCTCTTGACTGATTTATCAATTTTCATGAAGTTGGTTCTGTCCGTATAAGACGAGAATCCACTAAGAAAGGATTTACTAAAATTTTTACGCAATGGAAAAAGTTACGAATATAAAATGATTTAATGTAGTCTCAGTTTCATTTTTTTATTCTGACATGTGGAGAAGCAGAGTACATAAATAGATAACCCATATTCGGGTCACTTTTTCTATGCGTATAACAAATATTATGAACTAGGTAAGCACTTGGTGCAATTGCGCGATTTTGTTAGTATAAACGGCGAACAAAAACTATAATCAAAGAATGAATAGAGGGCGCCTATAACTCTTTTTCCAAAAACCTTTTCTGTGCGTACCCAAGTCACTAAGTGTCTTACGTGAAATAACCCAATTTTTTAGAGTTGAGTAGTCCAGTTGTATGTATTTTGCAACATGAATATAGTTTTCATTAATCGCTATTAAAATAAACTATAATTATTTAAACCCAAAGAATACCATAAGAATAAATAATTTTAGACTTTGCATTATAAAATATACTATATTGCGCATAATGGTGTTCTTCATGTATTGTCATTTCCTCTCTTAGGCTCAGGTATACCTCTTGTGTTCTGACACAAAAGCCATAACTGATTGCATCAGTGAATTCATCTTTCATACTAAAATATGATCAGATACAAACCTAGCTGTAGGTTTGTATCTGATAATATCAGGTTGCGTAGTAATTCATCTATGCTTCCGAGCAGAAATGGAGACACTGTGACTCTTACTCAGGTGACATATACTAAACTCATTTAAAAAGTATATGTTATCCTTTGTGACAAGACGTTAATGTTTTATATGGTCTGCCAATCGAATATACTATCAACATCTGTGACTGGATGTCGTTACCTAAACCAATTGATAGAATAGTCGATAATTGTGATTTATATGTCATGATCTCAGATTTCCGTTGCGCAGTTGAAGTGCTCCTACACAATTTACAATGGCTGTTGGTGTAATGGTGTACTTACCGATAACCAACCAATTGTACGTTACAATAGTACACAGCTTTATAGCTTATGCCGACAAGAACACTGTGTTCGCGGATAAAATTTTACATTTTATGTTAGCCTTGTCCGCTAAGGCTTTTATAGGTATGCGATGCCTGAAATAGTAATACGTTTAAGTCGTATCACAAACAAAATTGCATACAGCAAGGCACATTTTTTTTTAAACCACAAGTGTGGCAAACAAGTATACAGCCGTTTGATGGTAAACGGTCACTGTAGCCTATGAACGCTTGCAACACCAGGAGTGTGTTCGCGTTGCCAATCCTAAATAGATCTTAATATTAAAGAACTCCACACTGTAGTCTTTAGGGAAAGCCTTCGCAGGCAGCTCATTTCGCAGCCTGAGCGTTCATGGGAGAAAATTTTTCTGAAATCACACTGTACGTGAGACCATTTAGGCTCAAGCGTGTTAGGATGATTTGTCTGCCGATGGCGAACGGTACCATAATAAAAGTGGTTATAGGCATCATTTCAAACAATTCCTCAGAACACAATCAGTTACACAAGCGGTAGAACAAGTAAGTCTACCTATTTAGATATATTTTTAATTTCTTGCAAAATATTCCTTTAAATCATTGCTTAGAATCTAAGTTAAAACATTGTGCACGTTTGTATGTTCACATTGTGACGTGATTGAAACGAAATTGCGCGTAAAAAGTCTGAACCGAGTTTAGTTATTGAAGGCCGTATAATAGAGCAAAAACGAAATCCATTTGGACGAAGTTCGCGCTTAAAAATGTAATGAATCATAATATTTTATAGACATTATTGTTGGTATTTATGGAACACTTGAAAGATTATTATGGGTATTATCATTGTAAGTATTTGCATCACGTTTTTTATCGCTAATAGAATTATTTTGTAGATTGGTAGTTGATGGCTGGGCATGTAGTTGGGCTGTAATTTAAGTGTCGGCTATTCTATAAACAGCTCAACACCTAAATTACCTATAGTAGATTCGACCCTCATGCATTGTAGTGAATAAGTGCCATTATATACGTTTAGGCATAATAGCAGGGTAGAGATGTGTGATTACTTCTCTTCGTATTTTAAATGTTACACAAAAAATGTCTGTCAACAACTTCGAGTCTTTACGAGATAGGGAGAGATAATTGAGATCTAACAGCATTTTACTCAAATGTTTAAATATCTAAATTAATATTAAAAAGAGTTTTTTAAAATATTAAAAACATCAGATTATTATATTTTTGTTTGTAATGGATATTCTTCCAATCAAAATTCTTTTATTATAGAAAATTACATTATCAATGGCTATATATTATTTTTAAAATAATTACAGATCCCTGCGAAAATTACAATAACGTAGTCCAAGGTATCTAAAATTTGCCTCTTAAAGTTATAAACAACTAATTTATCTACCTGTGCGGAGCCTGATTGAATTAATTAATTTCCAGGATTTCAATAAATTTGAAGAACACACCTACTTAATTCTACAATTAAAAAAGTAAATTCTCCTTTTACACATAGCACGTACTGTCATAGTAGGTACATTACGCTACGTACATACATTTAAGCATCTACTATAGTAGAAATTGAATTGTGCTCCCTTGTTAAAATGTCTAATAGTAATTGCTCCAATCAAAATGATTGATATGGCAAAGCCAATGTATTACATATTTAAATATACTTTTTGACACAATGAAATCTAAATCTGTAGGTAGAAAAATAAAACCATAAAAACTAAAATTATATTGTCAAAGGCGACATTCTCATAGACAGTTACTTAGTAATTTAATATTGATTATTGGCCTTGTAAACAATAAATATTGGAAATCTTGAACCTGTATCATGTTGATTTCCAAGGGGCGTATAAGTTCATAAACACAATAATTAGCATGGTACTGGATAACAAAATGCTGATGGATTATTTGATGTAAGATATATAGTAACTGTCGCATATATGGCGCATGAAAAGTGGACATTACAGATTACACTGTGACACCTGTAGTGCTGATCATGCGTAGCACCTTGATCTGTATTATCTTGATATCCTGTAATTTCATTTTCTGCAGTGTTATCTCGGCATAGAATAGGTCCCTTCTTTTCCCGTGAGAGTCGTTAGAGGCGAAGAAGCGTAAGAGGGAACTTAACTGTCGAGGGATAGCAGCAGTGTTCCCCTTTAAATATCACCAAAATCTAACTGTGGTTGCTAACCCGCCTGCCAAGGGTGGTAACTATTGGCAAACCCCCCAACAGGGGGAGGCCTATGTTCAGCAGTGGACAGTCAACGACTGGTATGATCATGACGGTGTAGTGATTTACTTTTAAATATTTTTATGTTAGTTATTATAAAGATGTCACTGAGAAGCAGTTAAACATATGTTAAATTTTATATATGTATTTAGTAATTACAATATTACAACTAATCCATTAAATCACTATCAACTATCATGACTGTATTTACATCTCATAGATCCTATTTTTCTTGCTGCAAGGAATTTATATCGTTGCAGATTGACATTAACATTTGGAGTTGATTTAGGCCGATTATAATGTCAAATAGTCCTATAATAAAATTATTTTCATCGTAAACAAACAGACATATATGTTTTCATTTGATATTGGTTTTATTAGCTATTTTTGGTAATTTTGGCTATTTATGCTAA